TAGCCCACGCAAAGCATGGAGGAGCCTGGGGATGAAATAGTGACAGTGGGGCAGAGTGACTTGGATTTTGGAGCTTTTTGGGAGGCGACAGCCACAGGAACTGGTAAATAAAATCATGGCAGGGCCTGGGTGAAGAAGGAGCAAAGATTATACCTAGATTACTTATTGGAGCAGGTTGGTGGATGCAGAAGCCCAGAGGGGGAGCTTTGGAGGGTGGCAGTGTGCACATTTAAGTTTAGTCTGGGCAGTGTTGAGTTTGCAGTGTCTTGTCACCATCCAAGTGGAGTTGTCCAATGAAAAGATGGAGACAAAGCCGGAACTGGGCTAGAGATTCAGGGTTGGCCAGAGATGAAGGCCCAGAGGAGAAGCGTCTGAGAGTCTCAGCCGTCCTCTGCTCTGCCTTTCTGTCCCACCAGCCACCTCGAAGTCCTCTGGTGCGGGAGCCCCAGAAGCACCCACTTAACAAATGCCCCTGGGGTGAAGGAGCAAGGAGCTGTTTGGAGCTTATAACAACTGCTTTGGTACATTCTCCTCCTGCCTCCCACTTCTTTTCCCGAAACTCAGGCCATATTGCCTATCATCGCCGAGATCTCTTTCTTGAAGTGTGGTGACATTCTGGCCTCTTTGTGTTTCTGTTTTTTCCTTTGACTTTAGCATTTTCACTTTAACATCTGCCCGGAGGGGGAGAGGGTGGGGACCCCAGCTCCAGCTGGTGACGTTGTGGGTTGGCCTAGGCCATGAGTGTGAGGAACCTCACTGTAAGGCTTCCTGTCGCTCTGCGCTTCTGTAGAAGTAACAACACCCTCCCCAGTGGGATCCTGGTTCCCCAGCTCAGAGGCCACACTTAGGTACACTTGTTCGAGACCCGAGGGGGAGAAAGACGCAGGCACAGAGGTAAGATGGACAGACTCTGCTTCATTCATCTCTGCGGGTCTGGAAAGGGTTGGAGAACGTAGCACACGCATCACTGAAATGTGCTGGACTCCCATAGGCTTGGGTCACTTTCTCTGACAGTTTCTTTCTTTCTGTTTTTTTTTTTTAAATATTTATTTATTTATGTATAGAAGAACTGGGGTATAGGCCAGAGGTGCAGGGGGTGAGAGGATTCACCAGAGACAGAGTGGGGAGCAGAACAGGTGGATCGACTGAAATACACTGCGGAGGGAGCAGTGGGCAAGACAGGAGAGGTCTGCTGTGCCATGTTAGTTAGTTCCTTGGCCGGGTTGCAGCGGCTGTGGAGAGCTTGATACTGCTGAGAATTAGGCCCTTTCGCCCCCTGGGAGGCCCCTCCTCTGGCAGCGATCTCCTACTGGAATTGATAGTTCAGGAGAATGAGGACTTTGTCAAACTCCTCTCCTCATCCTCACTGTCCCCAGCTCAGATCCCTGAATAGGTGACTTTCAGAGGCTTATGGACTGCAGAGAGGGAATGAGGTCGTCCCTCTGGCTGAGAATGGCAGTGGAAGGCAACTAGTCATGGGCACAGATGGAGATAATGATAAGAAGAGGGGATGAGAGGGGGGGAAAGGGAAGAAGAGGTAGGAAAGAAACGGGAAGAATAAATAAATATTAAGGAAGGAGTTGTATAAAATAAATGAAAAAAGAAGTAAAGGTAAAAATGAAGAAAAATTGAAATAGAATCTAGTCTAGGGTCAATTCGCTCATTGACACAATCACCGAGAATTCACGCCAGAAGTCTTACTTGCAGCATCTCACAAGCATAGGATTGATGTGGCCTCCTTTAACGATGGTTTTTTTAGATTTTTTTGTGCACTTTTAGGACCTTTGTACAATATATGTAAAGATACTTCTACTTTAATTAGCTTCAACATGATTAATGAAACGGGAAAGCCAAAATTCTCAAAAAGGGTTGGTGCTGAGGTCTTATGTATGAAGTGCTGTAATAGTGGTAGATACACATATTTTTAGGTAAATCCATCATTAGAAAAATTAGTTCTCAGAAAATTGGTTTTAAGTGTCTCAGTCTGCTCTGGAAAAGAAGGCCAAGAATGAGGACTTTTTCACATCCCTCACGCTGGCTTGGTGGAGTGTGGGGGAGATGCAGGAGGAGATAAACCTCAAGACCATATCCTGTGTGTCTCCACGCCCTCAGTCCTTTCCCTTCTCCTGAGACGTCTGTAGCCTTGAAACCCTGTCCCCAGGAGTCCTCTGCCTTCCCTTCACAGGTACATTCTGGGAGTAGGGCCTCCTCCGTACAGTAAGATTTCTCAAAATAGAAGGAGCTCACTCTTTGACTCTGGACGGAATACCTCTTCCTGAATGTTCTGCTCTTGTGGGGCAAATTTTTAGAGATGCAAGCCTCAGAAGAGAAACATGGGGGAAGTTACTGAGTTTCGTGTTTTGACAAATAATTTCTTGTGTAATGTTAGAGTCCCTAGCTCAGACAAAATGGCCGCCCTTAATCACAGATGATGGCGTTCCCAGAGGACATGATTAGCGCTAACTCAAGAGATTATCTTTCTCCTTCAGGTTAGGGGCACTTATATAGAAGAGGTTTACCTCAAAATAAAAATTTCCCACACCAGCTGTTTCTAGGTAGAAACCTCCCTGAACCTTAGACCCCGGTACTGGTCCTATGGTCATAATGATAGGTGGGCCTGAGGAAACTTAGGTAGACCAAGGGCCTCACACACTTTAGACGCTCAGAAGATGTTTGTTGAAAGGAATAACTTTGCTATGGGTGGGTGCTGGGAGCGGCAGATGAGGGCCTAGGTTTGTCAAGCTCTAAGGTTGAGCTCTGTTCTGTATCTTTCGGGGGATAGAGGAAGGAGGGGGCACGGCTCCCCCTACGTGGGCGTCTGAAGCAAAGGAGAGGATGGCGGAGGTTGCAGCCACGGAACCACAAGGGTCCCTCAGAGGGGACGTGGTCTCTAGGAAGTTTACATGAAGCCAGTGAGCAGTAGACAGGGTGTGTGGCGGGGGGGCACATCCCGTGGCTGGGCTTGAGGGGGCTGACTGGGGGCAATAGGAGAAGATGAAAGTGGCTGCGGGACCACAGACTGTTGCTGTGGTGGGGCTGTGCCCTCTTTCTCTCCCCAACTCCTCATCCAATCTGGGGGGAGTAGGGGTTCAGGGAGAGGGCAGCAGGCACCTCAGGGTCTCTGAGAACGTGTGCAGAGGGTGTGTCGCCATTTTGGTCTCACCCTCTGGAGTCTCTTTGTCTCTTTCCTCTACTGCTCTTTGCTTGTACATTGGCCCACAGGATTTCTTCATCTTCTTCCTTCTGCCTCTACTTTTTCTGTACTACCCTGGGCTTTGTGTGTGAGGGGGGATTGTGTGATGTGTAGCTGTTGTTTTGTTTATTTATTTTATTTTTTAAAGATTTATTTATTTATGCATACAAGAACTGAGGTACAGGCCAGAGATGCAGGGGGTGAGAGGATTTACCAGAGACAGAGTGGGGAACAGAACAGGCAGAGCGACTGAAATACACTGCTGAGGGGAGCTGCGGGCAAGTCAGGAGACATCTGCCTCGCCATGTGGGTTGCTCCCTAGCCGGCCCAGGGATCAAACTCGTGCTGCAGAGGCTGAGGGTTGCTTCATAGTGCATTGTTTAACTCCTTGAGCCACCAGGAAGGCCCCTGTAGCTGTTGTTTTAATGAGCTGTTCTGGGTCTTTCCCTACCTCCCTGTCTCTCTCCCATCCTCCCTTACCTCGCCCGCTCATTCAGTGTCTCAGAATCTGTCCTTTTGCCTTTGTCCACCAGTGGCCACCTTCCTTGCATCCACCCTGGGCCTCCAGGTTGTGCTCTGCAGCCTCCCTTCAGATCAAAGCTTATTGATAATCCTGCGTTCCTGCGAGAGGCCTGTTTACAGGGCAAGAAGGGAGGAGAGCTTAGTGGCAGCTGGCAACAGAAGAGATGAGAAAGAAGAGGCAGGGACACTCCAAGCCAGATCGAAGGAGCCAGAATTGCCTCCTGGCAAGTAAGGCACAGAGGAGGAAAGACACAGATGCAAAAAGCTGAAGACAGGCCAGGCACGGCGTGGGGAGGCAAACACAAAAATGTACAGATGTGAGCAGAGAAACAAGCGGGGCGGGGCAAGGGGGGTGGGGAGGCAGAGGAACCAGCACCTCAGGGACCAGCAATCCTCCCAGCCTCTCTCCGGAGGCTGCGGTGTACAGGATGCTACTGTACTGGGGCCCGGCCGCCTCTGGGGAGGCTGAGGATGTGAAATCAAAGGCCAGCTCTCTGGAGTGGCAGCGGAAACCCCAGGCACCGAAGCGCACAACAGCTGGAAACCCATATCCTCCTCTGCTGAGCTGAGCCCTGGCTGGCGTGGGGCAGTACAGGATGCTGGAGGCGGAGCGGCCCTCTGCAGGCCCCAGATCTTGGCATGGGGAGGAAAAAATGACCCCTCTTTGGGGATGGGTTACAAATGTCCCAAACCTTTGTCAGGCACCTAAGTTGAACTTGGACCCCAAAGAAGGGAGCTTCCATAGGGAGACTCCTTGACTCTCTGCTCTCCAGGGATACAGTGGGTCCGGGGTAAGGGGGCCCAATGGGAGCCACTGTCAGATGTAAGAGTACCTCTCCCTCTCCTGCTCACCCCAGCCTTCCCTTCAATGCCTCCACCCCCATGTTAACTTGTAAACAACTTCACTTCCCTTCTCTCCTTCCTCCTTTCCTGGAAACTCCTCCCTGACCTCATCTCTCCCTGCTTCCCCTGCCATGGGTTAGGCACTGGATAATTCCCTTGCAGGCGGATTGATTGACTGGAAGGGGCTTTAAAAAAATCTTCCCCCAAATCTCATTAGGAGGCCAAACCCCCAGAACCCATCTGAGCTGCTGCTGGGTTGTGTTTTAGCCCAACAGGAAACAGAGCTGCTGCCTCAGCTGGTTCTTAAGGCCGCCTAAAGGGGGTTATTCACAGAGCTGTGGACAGGGCTAAAGGATTGCAGACACCAGCTACAGCAGGCAGGGTCCTGAAGGGACAAGGGCGAAAATGGTGTTTCTGGAACCCTCTGAGGGTCTGTGGATAAGAGATCACCACACAGGAGCTGAGGGTGTAACAGGGTGGTCCCCAGGAAAGGGGGAGGTTCCAGGTTCCCTGCCCCACCCAAGGGAGGGGAGCTGAGCAGGAAGAGGAGAAGCTGCAGAGGAGACTGAGGAAGGAAGCAGGATAGAGCCAGAAGGAGCCCTGGAGGAGGCGCATGGAGCCGAGAGACACGTGAAGAAACTGCGCTTCTCTTTTGGTCATGGACTGGGTGACACAGATGTGGGTGAGGCCTGTGGGGAGGTGACCATGGCAGCTTTTATCTTGATGTTGATTTTGCTCTTTTCCTTCCGGGCTTGTCTGGTTGTTTCTGACCCTTTTCTGTGGGTCCCCACTGGAAGATGCTTTAGACTTGTAGCAGGCTTTGGGGCCTTGCGCTGGGCCAATCCTGCTTGGGTGGACTTTTACCCACGAGGGGACGGGTAACTTTGGGTGCTTGATTCAGAAACTAGATTCTTTGCCTTTCTTGTATTGTTTCCTAATTGTGTTAAAGTTCCTTCCCAGTAAAGTCTCATGTTTTGTGTTGATGTGGCGGATGGCAGAACCCATTTAGAATAGGCAGGTTTGCGGGGTTTGGGCTGCCCCTCTTTCTGCCCTGTAACAAGGGGAGGAAGGAGGGAGGGAACCAGCTTACATAGACCATATGGAGTGTCTACTCAAAAATCAACCCTGGCTCCCTGTTGTTACAGGGCAACCCCGGTATAAAACGGATTGCTTGACTGTGGGTCCTCACCCACGCGCTTAAAAGGGACTTATTAATACTCCACTGCAGGCACACGCAAAAGGTTCATAAAAGGTTTATTTACAAGGGCAGGGGAAATGAGGAAATGTACAACTCGGGGAGAAAATAGGGAGATAGAGTCTTAAATGTGTCCTACCCGATCCGCCGACCTGGAAACCCAATGGCACGCTGAGAGCTGGCCGCGAGCCAAGAGCCGTGAAGCCAAGAAGGAGCCCCCCAAGGCCCACGTGTCTGGTTTTATACCAAACCTGGCTGCTTAACTCCACCCTCAGGTCCCAGCCACCTTCCCTTTGCTGGTGATGGGGTTTGTCTTTCCTAATGTGCTGATGGCTTTGGTCTGGAGTGGGGGTGGAGTCCACAAAGCCTGTATGGGATTAGCTCAGGACTTCCTTTCCCCCCAACAATGTCACCTCCAGAGCAAAGTCCTAACTTCCAGTCTGCCTGTCCAGATTTACAATCTGGCCCCAAAGGCCCCTCTCCCATCATCTCTGACACACAGACACAACCCCCTTTGCCCACCTCACCGTGAGATGCCCTTCCTGTTTCCCTTTCATCTAACTCTTACTTTCCTTTTCAGTTTTAAAAATGATTTTTTATTGAGGTGGCATTGATTTACAACACTATATATGATTCAGAGGTGCAAGTTCTTACCTCTTCAGATGTATGTTACCACACCCTACCCACCACCTAAACCACCGTCCATCAGCCCCCTCCTCCCTGTCTTTCCCTCACTTTCTCGTCCTCTGGTAACCTCAGTTCTAGGTCAGACTGTAGTTCTAGGATTTGTTTCAGTTCTTTAGTTTTATCTGTTCTTTTTTTGTTTCTTTTTAGTTTACCTATGAGTGAAACCGCTGGGTATTTGTCTTTCTCCTTCTGATTTCACTTGGTGTAATCCTCTCTTGTTCCACCTGTGCTGTCACAAATAGCAAGATTTCATCCTTTGTCACTGAGTAGGATTCTGTTGTGTGTGTACACCACAGCTGCTTTATCCACTCACCTGTTGTTGGGCACTTAGCTATTTCTATAACGTGGTATTGCCAGAAGTGCCACAGTGAACCAGGCACATCTATCCCCTTGAATCAGTGGTTTTGTGTATTTGGGCAGAATCCTAGGAGAGGAATTGCTGGATCATATAGCAGATTCATTTTTTAAAATTCATTTATTTATGCATACAAGAACTGTGGTACAGGTGTGGGGGAGGGTGAGAGGACCCACCAGAGACAGAGTGGTGAACAGAACAGGCAGAATGATTGAAATACACTGCTGAGGGGAGCAGCGAGCAAGACAGGAGAGGTCTGCTGCACCATGTGGGTATCTCCCTGGCCAGGGATCGAACTCACGCTGCAGTGGCTGCGAACAGCTTTGTAGGTTGTGTTTTAACCCCATGCACTACCAGGGAGGTCCAGCAGATTCATTTTATTTTTCCTAGCAGATTCATTTTTAATATTCTTTTTTTAAAGATTTATTTTTATTTATTTATACACACAAGAGTTGGGGTGTAGGCCAGAGGTGCGGGGTGTGAGAGGATTCACCAGAGACTGAGTGGGGAGCAGAACAGGCAGATTGACTGAAATACACTGCTGAGGGGAGCAGTGGGCAAGACAGGAGAGGTCTGCTGCACCATTTGTGTAGCTCCCTGGCTGGGGATTGGACTCATGCTGCAGTGGCTGGTGATAGCTTGATAGTGCTGAGACTTAATCCCTGTGCTACCAGGAAGGCCCCATTTTTAATATTGTGAGAAGCCTCCATATTGTTTTCCACAGGGGCCGAACCAGTCTATCTCCACCTCTAGTGTACAAGGTTCCCTTGAACTTCACACCCTCTCCAACAATTGTTGCTTCTGGTCTTCTGATATGGGCCATTCTCATGGGTGTGGGATGGCATCTCTTTGTGGCTTTGATTTGCATTTCCCTGATGATAAGTGATAAGCGGCATTTTTTTCATTTGCATGTTGGCTACTTACACATCCTCTTTAACTCTTGGTTTTCAAGTTTGAGCTGGCTAGACCCAACCCAGTTTCTGACTCCATGCATCTGAAGTGGGACCCCAGAATTTGCTCCTAACAAGTACCCAGTGGCAGGCTGCTGTGGATCCAGGACCACTGGTGGATCTCTACTCTATCCTAATGCAGCCCATTCCTCACGGTCCATGCAGAACCTTTCTGCACTCTCCACCCCACCCCACACCTCACCCATCTTCCAAGACAAAGTAGAAACTGTTCCTTTGTCTACATCTTTCTGCTTATCCCACTCAGAGGCCCTAGAGGATTGGCCATCACGGAATTATCTTTCTCTTCCTCTCACACCTCATACTGTACCAGGGTCCCATTTCTGGGAATTTTATCTCAGAGCTGTCCCTCAAATCCTTCTCTTTTCCCACATTCCCACTGTCTGAGAAGAGATTCAGGGCTCAGGGCTCCCCAGGATGTTGCCATCTGCTCTTGGGCATAGCCACCTCCTGCTTCTTTCTCAGGCTTCAAGACCTGGTCTGACTCCTATTCTCTGTCACCACTAATTTTCCATCTTCTCAGTGACTCCTTCTCTGATCCTACCTGGCAGAAAGCCCACCCCAGCCTGGGCACATCACTGTGTGGCACCTACACTGGGTATCTGGTTAGATTCCATGTACGTCCAAGAGGTATTATCTCCTTGATAATCAATTTGCAATAAAGCTGATTTCTCCCCCACCCCCACCCCAATCTATGCCCTTTGGGTAGCGACCCCATGGCTTGGTCCAAACAAAGTGCCTGCCACCTAATGATTGGTTTTCTCCCTCAAGCTCTGTCCTTTCTTCTGGGAGAAGGGTCAGGGCCCTGCCATATCAGCAAGGCCACAATGAACTGGACAACCTCTTATAGGCACCTGTTCCTGGTGGTGCTGCTGGGTGAGTAGTCGAATATGGGGTCTGAGGGCAATGGCCTGGGAGAAGAGGGTAATTGAGATGCCAAGTTGGGGGGGGGTAGTCGAGTGGAGGGGAGCAGCAGACAGACTTGAGACCTGATCCCCTTCTTTATCACCTAGCTCTTGTCCCAGAGGACACACATAATCAGGGATTACAAATAGTGCTGGGGAAGGCAGAAGACCAAGTAGAGCTGCCCTGCAGAGGTTCCAGTGGTTCCCAGAAGAAGACCGCATACTTCAGCTGGAAAGATGATTCCAACACCTTGATTCTGAGGAATCAGAATGACTTCATCACTAAAGGTAGGGTGACCCTCTCCCAGGCCAAGGAGGAAAGCACACGGGATTGAACACCTTTGGTGTCAGCTCCTCCTGGTCCTACTAAACCTGGAATCCCAGAAGGTTCTGATTGACAGCGATGCTAGGGTTCCCCACACCAACTGCTAGTGGTCCAGAGAATGGTTTTTGGTGGCCTATTGTAATTTCAATATTTTCATATTTGTGGGCTTTTTTGATGGATATTTAAAAATAACTATCATATCAAACCTGATGATTTAATGATTATTATTATTGCTATAGATCCATGAGGAGGTTTTGCTTCCTTGCATTAAAAGCAACAGAATGATTTTTTCCTACCTTTTGAAGCAAAACAATTAAGATCTCAGTACTTCTTAGGGATGTATTTTCTAAGAAAGCATTTTTTTAACATTTCAAAAAAATTTATTTATGTACACAAGAACTGGGGTACAGGCCAGAGGTGCAAGGCAGGGAGAGGATTCACCAGAGGCAGAGCGGGGAGCAGAACAGGCAGAATGACTGAAATACACTGCTGAGGGGAGCAGCGGGGGAGATAGGAGAGGTCTGCTGTGCCATGTGGGTTGCTCCCTGGCCGGGGATGAACTTATGCCACAGTGGCTGGTGATAGCTTGATATCCTGGAGACTTTACCCTGCACCACCAGGGAGGCCCAGAAAGCATTTTTTAAATCATATAAGATTTGTCCTCATGACCTCCTCCTCCCCAACTCCCTTCTCTTGCTCCTTCTTCTAGCATTTTCCTTCTTTACTTTTAATTTCCCTTTCGTCTCTTCGTCCTTCCTCTTTCTTCCCCTTTTCCCCTCTGCTGTAGCCATTCCTCTCCCCCTCCCTCTCTTTCTACAAATCCAGTGTCAAGGGCTGACATCCAATGGCATCACAGGGAGGGAGCTGTTGTGCTGTCCAGGAATTCCTGCCCCAGAGTGATTTAGCACCAGGTTCCCCACTCATATGTGGGGCAGACAGTGGAGGGGGTGGGGAGGGTCCTCCTTTCTGGCCACCCCATCCTCATGCTCTTCTTGAAGTAACTCTTTCTCCTGTGTATGGATTCAACACATTTTTGAAAAGAAGAGCATGAGGCAAGTAGAAAAAAACCCACCAGTAGTTTTGTAACTATATTTTAATAAGTGTATTAGGTTTATCATTGCTTGCATTTCACGCATTCATATTAATATTTTAATATTTTCTTTTAATTGTGAACAAGTCTCATATATTTATAATATTTATATAGTGAGTCATTATATATCCCATTTAACTTCAACAATTACCAATTCACAGTCAATTTTGCTTAAATTACATCTCCTGATCCCCAATCCCATATTATTTTACAGCAAATACCAGATTATTTTATAGCAAATACCAAATATCACTTAATATGTAAATACTTCAGTGTGTTTCTCTAAAATATAATGATTCTTTTAAAAAAAAAACCTATCTACAGTATCATTATCTCCCTTAACAATTAAAAAATAACTCCTTAATTACAATAATCTTCAGAGTTCCATTTTTCCTAGTTGTCTCATAATATTGTTTGAACATTTGGAGTATTTGAATCAGAATCCAAATAAAAATTCTTGCATCATATTTGATTGAGAGTTCCCTTAAATCACTTTGAATTTATATATCTATTTTCTTTTTTCTCCCCTCTTGCAAGTGTTGGTTGAGGAAACCAAGCAACTGGGCCTCCCTGGTGGCGCAGAGGTTAGAGTCTCAGCACTATCAAGTGATTGCCAGCCACTGCAGCATGAGTTCAATCCCTGGCCTGGGAGCTGAACCACATGGTGCAGCAGACCTCTCCTGTCTTGTCCACTGCTCCCCTCGGCAGCGTATTTCACTATATCCCCCTGTTCTGCTCCCCGCCTTGTCTCTGGTGAATCCTCTCTCTCTCTCTCACACACACACACACACACACACAAACACGCACCCACCAGCACCTCTGGTCTATACCCCAGTTCTTGTATGCATAAATAAATAAAAATAAATCTTTGGGGGAAAAAAGAAAGAAAGCAGGAATTGATCTGTTAAGTTTTGCACCTTCTAAAGGGGAGCTGGCTGCATTCCCATGGTGTCATCGAACATGTTCCTCGAATCACCTACAAATGTGGGGATTGGATCTAGGTATTCGATGAAGTTCACATTCAATTTTATGACAAGAACACTTTGTAGATGGTATTTTATACTACTATTTTTTTAAGATTTATTTATTTATGCATACAAGAACTGGGGTACAGGCCAGCGGTGAGGGGTTGAAAGAATTCACCAGAGATAGAGCAGGGAACAGAACAGGCAGAAGGATGGAAGCACACTGCTGAGGGGAGCAGCGGGTGAGACAGGAGAGGTCAGCCTCGCCACGTGGGAATCTCCCTAGCTGTCCGGGAATCCAACCAGGCTGCAGAGACTGCGCACAGCTCCACAGCTCTGAGTTCAACCTGCTGCACCACCAGGGAGGCCCTGGTTCCCCTCTTAGCTTTCATTGCCACTAGAGGGAGCCACTCCTCCTAACTGCTGGCCAGGGGAGAAAGTTCCAGCTCCTGGAGTGTTCTCCATGGACCCTGAGGTGGAGGTGACTTTATAACCTCTGTGATGGAGACAGACTTGACTCTGCAGTAGATCTCCTTTGACATTATCCCAGAAAGAAAGAAGAGGTGCCCCCTGACTACGGGGTAGGGGTGGAAATCCAGGCTCTTCATACAGTCTCCACTGATGCGGCAGGGGTTGAGTGACCTTGTCACTGTCTCGTAGGGATGAACATCCTAGCTCTCTTCTAGGTGTTCACTGACACTATCCCAGTGGGTGTGTTGGGTGCCTCATTACAACCTCAGGAAGAAATGCTGGCATGGTTGGGTGACACCATAGTGTTTGCCTCTAATGTTTGGTTAGAATAGAGCAGTTATTAGCTAAATAAGTTTTGTCTTGCTAACTTGCTCCTTTCCTGGTCCTTTGGCTAGACAGAGCAGATTCGTCTGAAAGGGGGAGGGGTACTCCTCCTTGCTGGGGTGGTGTGAGAAGATGCCTGGTGAAAAGTCAGGACTTTCCCCATCACACAGCAGTAACAAGATCCCCTCTACCCCATGTCCTTGGAGAGCACGTGGGGAACTGGAACTTCTACCCCTGCCTGGCAGTTAGGAGCCACCTCTAGTGGCAGCTGAGGATTCGAGTAGATGTAATACCTAGAGTTACAGCTAAAATACTACAGAGATAGGACCTCCCTGGAAGCGCAGCACTATGAAGCTCTCCGCAGCCTCTGCAGCACCGGTTCGATTCCCAGCCGGCCAGGGAGATACCCACATGGCGCAACAGACCTCTCCTGCCTCGCCTGCTGCTCCCCTCAACAGTATCTTCAGTCCTTCTGCCTGTTCTGCTCCCCACTCTGTCTCTGGTGAATCCTTTCACCCTCCTGCACTTCTGGCCTATACCCCAGTTCTTGTGTAAATAAATAAATTTAAATAAATCTTAAAAAAAGAAAAAGAAAGAAAAAGAAAAAAAAAGAAAAGAAATGCCCCTAGAGAAGAGAAGGAAAGAGAAAAATAAAACTACAAAGATAGACTCAAACACTTTAGATAAATTAAAATAAATTCTAAAACATCTTTAAAAAAATGTTTATATCCCAAAGTATAAAGTTAATGTCTATAAGTCCATACTGATATAATAACTGATTGAAAAAATAAATAAGTGGTGTCTCCCTGGTGATGCAAGGGGTTAAGCACAGCACTGTGAAGCTCTTCACAGCCACCGCAGCCACTGCAGCACCAATTCAATCCCTGGCCGGCCATGGAGCTACCCATATAGCGCCAGCAGACCTCTCTTGTCTCTCCTGCCGCTCCCCTCAGCAGTATGTTTCAGTCAGTCTGCCTGTTCTGTCCCCCACTCTGTCTCTGGTGAATCCTCTCACCCCCGCACCTCTGGCCTGTACCCCAGTTCTTGTATACATAAATAAATAAAGCTTTAAAAAAAAAAAAAACAACTCAATACCAAGAAAAACAATCTAATTAGAAATGGGTAAAGTCCTGAATAGATATTCCAACAAAAAGAATCAGGGTTGGCAGATAAGCAGATAAAAAGGTGTTCAACATCATTAATCATTAGGGAAATGCAAATTAAAACCATAATGAGGGCCTCCCCTGATGGCGCAGGCAGTAGAGCACTGCTCTGTGAAGCTGTCCACAGCCTCTGCAGTGCCGGTTCGATCCCGGCTGGCCCTCGAGGGTCCCACATGGCATGTCAGACCTCTCCTGTTGCTCCCGCTGCTCCCCTCAGCAGTGTATTTTGTCAGTCTGCCTGTTCCATTCCCTGCTCTGTCTCTGGTGAATCCTCTCACCCTCTCGCGCATCTGGCCTGAACCCCGGTTCTTGTATAAATAAATAAATAAATCTTTTTTTAAAAAGTGTATACAAATGTTCGTAACAGTTTTATTTATAATAGCCAGAGACAACCCAGATGTCCTTCCATGGGTGAATGGTTTTAGCCACACTGTGAAATACTTCTCAGCAGTAAAAAGGGACAGTTGGGTGACTTACACATAATCACCTGGGTAAATCTCCAGAGAATTATGCTCAGTGAAAAAAAGTCATTCCCCAAAGGTGACATCCTGTGAAATTCCATTTATGCAACATTCTTATAGTGTCAAATTACAGAAATGGAGGACAGATGATTGATTGTCAGGAGTTAACATGGTAAGGGGAGGAAACTGGAAGGAAAGAGGCGTGGCTATAAAAGGCAATGCCCCCATGGCCCTAGAGAAGGTCAGCATCCCTGTGGCACCAATGCCAGTATCTGGGTGTGGTGTTATACTGTGGCTTTTGCAAGCTGTTACCATCAGTGGGCCATTTTTGCAGTCTCTCTGTATTATGTCTTATAATGATCTTGAAATAATAGGCTGAATTTTAGAAATTAATTTTCATAATTTAATTTTTTTTTAAAGATTTATTTATTTATTTATACAAGCACTGGGTACAGTCAGAAGCGCTGGAGGGTGAGAGAATTCACCAGAGCCAGAGCGGGGAGCAGAGCAGGCAGAAGTACTGAGGTACACTGCTGAGGGGAGCAGCGGGCGGCAGGAGAGGTCTGTGCGCCATGTAGGACCCTCCTCCGGTGGCCCGGGAGCAGCTGGGGATCAAACCGGCGCTGCAGAGGCTGTGGGCAGCTTCGCAACCCAGAGCTCAACCGCTGCGCCACCGGGGAGGCCCCATAATTTCATTTTTTAAAAAGATTTTATTTATGCATGCAAGAGCTGGGGTACAGGCCAGAGATGTGGGGAGTGAGCGGATTCACCAGAGACAGAGTGGGGGACAGAACAGGCAGATCTACTGAAACACACTGCTGAGGGGCACAGCAGGTGAGACAGGAGAGGTCTGCTGTGCCATGTGCGTTGCTCCCCGGCCAGCCGGGAATTGAATTCATGCTGCAGAGGCAGCCGATTTCTTCATAGTGCAGTGCTTAACCCCTTGCGCCACCAGGGAGGTCCCATTTTCATAATTTCAAAACAAAATGAAAGGAAGCTCCGCGCATCAAGCGTATTTTGTTAAGTGGAAAGAGTGAGCTGTAGATGTAACACAACCCCATTTAAATTGAAAAAGCAATCTATGGGAATTTATGTTTGCATGAGCAAAGAACAAAGCAGGGAAGAGTCCACACCAAACTATTTACAGTCGTACTAGAAATGTGGGTAAGGGGAGAGGGAAGTGTTGAATCTATAACTTTGTAGTTCAAATAACCACCCCCCCCCAAAATTATCTTAACACAACTTTAAAAAATGCATGTGATGAATATTTTCCATTTCAGTAAAATTGCTTGTAAGTATCTTTCTTGGTGCCAACCTAATAGTCCATCAAGTGAGTGAATGCTAATATACAGCCATGATCCTTTTATCTAGCATTGTATGCAATTAACACTGTATTAACATTGTATGCTATTAAATAATAGCTGTAATAATTATTTTTCTGTAATAATTATTTTTCTGCTACGTTGTAGTCTGCATCTTTAAATTATTGTTTTCAGGACAAAGATCTAGAAATGAAATTGAGGATATGAATTTTTAAAAAGAGTTGGTATTTACGGCAAGGTTGCTTCCAGAAAGTTCTATGCATTTACACCAAATCTAGTTAATGTCAATGTATGCCCCTGTCACCGACACCCTTCCAGCACTGAATAGTATTATTTAAAACTGTGTGTGTGGCTAATTTGCTAGCTGAAAATATATCATTTGTTGTTTTAATTTGCATTTCTTGATTGCCTCTGAAATAGAAACAATGCACTACTTTCTAAAAATTCTTAAGTCTTTTGTGCCAATGTTTTGTTCTGTTTCTATGATTTGATTTTCCTCCAGAACAGCTCCCATTCCCAACTTCCTGATCTCTGGCACAACGGTATCACTCTCCTGACGCCCACCATTTCTGAACCAGAGTCAAGTTTTTTCCCCCTCTATTTCAATTTTTGTCTTCCCATCCATCCATCACCAATGATGCCCATTCCTTCCTTTAAAGTGTTTTTCTGTTTCATCTTTTTTGTTCCTAGGAGGTCACCATGTCTTTAGCCAAGTCCGCAAAACTTTCACCGGGATTCCATTGGAAGCTTCCCGGCAAGCCTTCTGTTACCAGCCTGTCCGATTTTGCTTTCTCTCCCAGCTGTAATCCCTTGCACGTTTCACTTCCTGGTCTTTCCACTAAGCCTGGACGCCTCTGCCAACACTCAGTTCCTTAGCATCCCTTCCACAGCTTCCTAGAAACCTCTGCATATGGTGGTCCCCTTGCTCCTTGGTGGTGGTTGCCGGTACTGCTTTGCCCCCTTTGTGGATGTCTTCCTTGCTCCCGCTTCTGCTAGTCCACTGCCTTCACTCTTTTTAGGCTTGAAACCAATGACAGACGCGTGAAAGGGGAGATGAGGCCAGGACGAGGAGAGCAGGCCTCGGGCTGTCTGGAAGGAGCTCCTGGGGAGGATAAGCCCAAGCAGTAGGAAGCAGGCTGTGAGGGCTGGAGGAGGAGAGAAGGGAGAAATCATGCCCACGTGACACCCAGCTTCCTGTACTGAGGCCAAAACTGGAGAGGATCCCTGCCCGCTCAGGGAGGCTGCGGTGGTGCTGAGGGAGCTGAGGGTAGGGGCTTTATCTCAGCTGCCTTCACTCCATCCCTGCAAATAAACATTGGAAGTAAAAGGCTATGTGCTTGCTATGTAAATTTAGCTTCCAAATCCCTCACCTGCAGGAGTTCTGGAGCTGCCCTGGCTCCCAGAAAATGCTCAGCAAAAGGGAACTTCTTTGCATGGTGGCTGTTAGATACTTAAAGAGGGGACTGGACTCCTCCACATATCCATGCTCGAAGACCTTTCCAGAGACAGTGCTGCATAGTGTACTTCATGGGCTTGAATTTTTACCCACCATTTACTGGAGTCAAAATTCAAAAGACAGGAAAGGATCTACAGTGAAAAGCTCTCTGTTCACACCTTGGCATTCCCTTCCTCTTGCCAGAGTCACCACGGTTACCATACCATGTTTATTTGGAGAAATAGTTGTTCATATACAAGGTAGATACAGAGCTAAAGACAGACATAGACAGACAGGTAGGTAGGTCGGTAGGTAGGTAAATAGACAGATAATTTCCTCCTCCTTTTAAAATAAATGATAGCCTATTTTATGTCTTGTTATAATAAGTTGATATTTCTTAGATATAATCCATATCAATGTGTAAGAGTGTCCTCATTCTTCCCTTATTGCAAGAACTATGACTGATTTAACCTAATCTTTCCTTGGTGAACATTTAATTTTTCATGTGAATTTGTAATCCTGGTAGACGTTACCAATTACCTTCCAAAGAAATTGCTCTGGTTTATGTTTCTGCCAACAATATGTAAACATGAGTTTGGACAACGACTTTATCTCTCTGAGTCTCAGTTTCCTTATTTGCAAAATAAGCAAGACAGCACCTATTCCCTGGTGTCCTTGTGAAGGGTACTTGAGATGATACATGTAAAGTATTTGACTTGTAGGAGTGGGTGCCTTGCCAATATGCACATGATTTTATTCTGGATTAGTGAGAGATTATTCTGACCAGGAAAATGGATGTGATGGGACCGCCTCACCAGTCTGGAATTCTCTGATTAGGTTAAGGGGCAGATTCTGCAGGAAATTAGCAACTCAAATCAGAAGCGGTTATGGGCACTGACCAGCAGGGGTGCCAGCTCTCCAGGGTACTTGACCTCCTCCATGTGGCTTCAACTCCCAGGTAGTAGCAAGCTGAAAGATCGTGTTGATTCAAAAAAGACAACGTGGAGCCAAGGGTACTATCCTCTGATCATCTCAAAACTTAAGCAAGAAGACACGGGGATTTACATCTGTGAAGTAGGGGACCAGAAGACGAAGGTGCAGCTGCTGGTGTTCAGATGTGAGTGGGGCAGGCTGGGAACAAGGGTACCTGTGGCCAGTCTCCCTCCTCCCTGACTCCCATCCCTACACCCAAATCAGCAGGAGGCCTCAGCAGCCCACAGTTGGATCCCATGGGCCACCACATGCCTCAAACCCTCCCCTTGGGTCACGTAGGAGAGAAAAAGAGACCTAGAGAGAGGGGAAGAGAAGGACAGGAGCCAGAGAAAGGAAAGAGAGGGGCAGGGAAGAGGGAATGAGAAAAGGAGGAGGGGCGAAGAGGAGGGTGAGGAGGGGAGAGACAGAGCAAGAATAGACGGAGGACAAGGGAGGGGGGAGAAGGAAATCTTCCTTTGGATTGGGGGCGGACAGCTGGGTGTGGGCAACAAGGAAGAAGTTGGGAATGGGGTAACGGAGAGACCCTCTAGGCTCCTGGCTTCTCCCCTTCTCCCTGGGGACAGCGTGTGTGTGACATAAGTGGTCTGCTCCCTCCACAGTGACTCACAGGCCGAGCGACCGTGTGATTGTAGGGCAGAGCCTGAGTGTGACCTTGGAAGACCCACCTGGTAGTTCAGTGGAAAAGCTTTCAGTTGAATGGAAAGTTCCAGGGGCTGAAGGCCCAACGAAGGGCAGGGACTTCTCTTTGTCCCAGGTGGAGCTGCGGAACAGTGGCCCTTGGAAATGTAACATCTCCGTAGGCCAGACCAGCCTGGTGTTGAGCATAAACATCTTGGTGCTGGGTAAGAGGTGCCCTCTCCCCTCAGCCTTCCCCTGCCTTAGGGCCTGACTCCCCCTCCCTCTGCTCTGCTCCCGGGGCTGGGTTGGGGAAAAGGAGGCTGGGCCAAGTCCTCCTAGAGCTGAATTCTGTCCTGAGGGATACCCTGGACCCTTGCTCAGGGTGGTAGACATGGAAGAAGGACGGGACCAGGGACTCCTGGAAGAGGCCCCAAAGCAGGCCCCAAGGATTTCTATTTTCTTTGTCGCCTCTTCTCCCCATCCCCACTAAGCTGGCAAAACCACTGAATGGGTGACACTAACACCAGCAAGTTGGCCAGGCTGAGATTCCACTTTGTACCTTTAGTATCTTGAGCTAGGGGTCAAGATCCTAGGAGAAACCAGAACCCAAAATGCAGGTCCTGCCCCAGATCCTGACCACCATGGGCTTATGTGATCCCAGGGAGTGGTGGAGGATGGTTAGTGTGTGGACTCTGATTTAAATTTGACTCTGACTTAACTGTGTGACCTTGGCCAAGTCACTGAACTTCCCTGTGCCTTGGTTTCTGCATCTGGACAATGGAGATGATGCTCGCTGTGCTGTATTACTCTATATTAAGCCCTTAGTATTAGTACAGGCCTGACCCATCACAAACTTTATTCAGCTGCTCTTATCTTGTGAGGAGTGGTAAATGTTGCCTCTCAGCAAGCCAAATATCTTCTGTGTTCCAGGGCTGCTGAGGAGGGAGAAGCCCCATGATTGGGCTGTTCTCAGAGGGCTTTCACGGGGAGGGGACACAGCAAGGGGACATGCATGGGTAGAGAGGCAAGACAGAAGATCAGAGAGGTAGATGGGACATTAAGAGCTGAAATGGCCGCCAAGATATTTGGACTAGCTGGTCCCCCTCCATCTCTGCTGCCCCCACCAAAAGCCCACCCCACACTGTGCACCATCTCTTCCTATCTCCTCTTTTTTTTTTTACCTATAGAGGCACATGCACTCAGTCAGAAGCGTGGGAGCACTACACTGCTCAACCCAGCGCTCCCGCTTCTCTTCCTATCTCTTGACCAGGTTTTCTCCCTTCCCACCTCCAGGTTTCCGGACGTTTCTTGACCCAGTCTATGCAAGAGAGGGGGATAAGGTGGAGTTCCTCTTCCCACTTAACTTCGAAGCCAAATCTCTGAATGGGGACCTACAGTGGCAGGCAGAAGGAGCCTCCTCCCCACAGCTCTGGGTCAACTTCACCTTGGAGAACAACCAATTGACTGTGAACAAGGCCTTCCAACACCTCGAGATGCAGGAGGCGCACCCCTTCTGCCTCACCCTGCGGCGGGTCTTGCTTCAGTATGGGGGCTCTGGAACCCTGACCCTGAATCTTAAGGAGGGGGTCTTGCATAGGACAGTGAATCTCGTGGTGATGAGAGGTGAGGAGCCAGAAAGGGAGGCTTGTACCCTGGGTACCTGATGGACGTGATCACTGATCTCGGTGGGGGGGAGGGGTCTGGTATGGGATCTGGCTTTGAACTGAAACTGGAATCCACACATTCTTCCTTGACATCCAGAAGGCAGCCCCTCTACAGACATCCAAGAACCCCCACAGGGCATGTGCTGAGAAGCAGGGTCCTGGCTCTGCCTCTGCCCAGCCCTCTATGGCCCTGGCTAAGCCCCTTTCCTCTGGGTGTCTCACCAGCCTGATGGGGTACTCAAATCTTCTCTGAGTATGAAGTGATGACGTGAACCTCAGCCTCGCCTTCTTCCCATCTTATTTCCTTCATCATCTCAATAATTCCACAAGCTAATATCTGATGGTTACCACATGCCAGACCCCATTCAGTAATTGAACATGTATTTGTGTGTTTAATTATTGTCTGGGGCTCAGGTTGGTGGAGTAGCTGGCTCAGGGCCACACAGCCCGTGAGCGGTGGGGCTGGGATTCAAATCCAAGAGCGCTGAATCTCAAAAGTTATGTTTTCTCTATCATAACTGCATGAAAATGTTGTGAGAGGCTGAAAGTGTGGTTTGGATTGTTCTACTGAATCCCCCAGGAGCACGGTGGTGCTAGCCCCGGGGGTCCTGGCTCTCAGCCTTAGGCTCTTGTGCCTTTGCAGTGACTACGTTCCAGAACAATGTCACCTGTGAGGTGAGGGGGCCCCTGCCTCCCACACCGCAGCTGGTCTTGAAGCGGGGGAACCAGAGTGTGGAGGAGATCTCAAAAGTGCCGAAGCAGGTGACAGTGCTGAACGCTGAAGCAGGCACATGGCAGTGTCTACTGAGACACAAGAACAAAGTCCTGCTGACAACCGAGGTGGAAGGTGAGTGAGGATCCAGGGCCCTTGACCCAACACCAAGCTTCTGCTTACTTGGCCGTGGGGCCTTCCCATGGTGGGCGGAGACCACCTCCCGGGGGCCTGGATACACTGGGCGCTGAGGTGAGGTGGACCTGTCCTGGTTTCTGTGGTCCTGAGAGTTCCTACCTTCCTGGGTGTCCAGCCCAGGAATGGGGTCCACATAACGAGGAACATCCCTCTCCGGCTTCTCTCCAAGTCCAGACGCATGCGCGTGCGCGCGCGCACACACACACAGGTAGGCAGGCTTACACACAAGCACACATGTACGCACCTAGCCAAGGCTGTGCTTCAAGCTCCCCAGCGTGCCCTATGGGCTCTAACCTTAACCCCTTCCCCGGCTCTTTCCTGTCAAGTCCGGAGGACCCGGGGAGCCTTATGCACCCTGACCTGCTCTCCCAGCCCAAGAATCAGATCCGAGTAGAGCCAGGCAGCAGGTCTTCCTGGGGCCCCCAGAGCACCCTGGGCCTCTGCCAGAGGGCAGTGAGCTGGACATCTCTCTCCTGCAGTTTCTCCCCAATTCACAAAAGCCTCGCCAACATTCCTGGCCATCGTGCTGGGTGGGATCGCAGGCCTTCTGCTTCTCTCTGGATTTTGCATTGTCTGCTGTGTCAAGTGCTGGCATCGCAAGGTAAGTGCCCCCCCCCCGCCCCACCCCCCGCCACAAGGGAAGCCTATGTATGGGCCCTGCTTCTGGGCTCTCCCTGCAAGCTTCCCCAGCAGACTGGGCTGCTCCAGACCCCCACGGAGGAAGAAACCAGAGCAGAGCCTTAATTCTGGGGCAGATGCCCTCAGTCACAGTGACTGCTTCTCCTCTCCCAGCTTCCCCCACTCCCCCCTCCAAGAGGCTCCTCCCTTCTGGAGGCCTGGGACCCTCACGACTCTCCTCCTTCTTCCTGGACAGCGCCAGGCAGAGCGGATGTCTCAGATCAAGAGACTCCTCAGTGAGAAGAAGACCTGCCAGTGCCACCAGTAAGGAGCTGGTGGGGTGGGCAGGAAGGGGAAGGAGGGAGGAAGAAGGAAGGGGGGGCAGAGCAGTGGAGTTGAGTGAGGACACAGGGGCAGCGGAGGGGGTGCGGGGAGGCCTGGGGACCCCTAGCCTGGGTATTTCTGGCTGTGGCCCTGCCCTGTAGTCACGGCTCTGGAAGAGAGAATGGCAGTCTGGGAACCTGGAGGTCCTAGAATGCCATGGAGTTGGGGAGAATAGACTTGCTCCTTTTCTTCTTTGTTCCTCCAGCCGGTACCAGAAGCCAAGTAGTCTCATTTGAGGCACCCCGCCAGGGGCAGCTTCCCACTTGCAGCCTCCCCAGCTGTCTCCCAGCATTTCCTGTCGGGCTCCCGGGCCTGTGGACCAAATGAATGTAGCAGATCCCAGGCCTCCAGCCATCTCCTGCTGTCCTCGTTCACTTGGCCATTGACATGCGTCTTCCGGAACTTAGATCTGTTCTCCCCCTTCCTTCTCACTCAAGCCCTTGCCCTTCTCTGACTGTTTCTTCTCTACCATCTCCCTCACTGCCCACTTGGATCCCCCGGAAGCAGGCAGAATCAGGCCTGCCCAGCCTGGAGAGTGAGATCGGGTGTCTGAAGCGTGAAGCAAAGGACTGTCATTTTATGGCCAGAGAGGCTGAAGGCCAGCCCAAGACCAGAGAGCCCGTCAAGACTCCCAAGGTTCCTCACTGCCAGCCTCCACTGCTCCACGCTGCCTGCTTCTCAGCCTGTGTTGGGGGCCACTGACTCACATCCTGACCTGTGTGTAAACGGGGACCCCCCGATACACACCCCCATACACAGCTCACGCTTGCCCACAAACACGATTCCTTATCACACGAGCACTGTCTCAACCTGTAAACCAGTTTCACATCCTCTGTTTGATACATATGAAATCCCACACGGCTGACAGTGACAGGACCAGGATTAGCATCTCTGGTTTACATACCAGAAATGGAGCTCAGAGAGGTTAGATGTTTGCCCAAGATCACACAGCTAGATGATGCTGAGTCAGGACTAGCCCATCTCTTGACCCCAGTTCCACTGCTGTTTCTCAAACACAGGGACAAATACCACGCAGATTGCTGCAGCTGGTTAGTCATAGGTGCCCGTGTGTACCTTTGGGTCCCCAGGAGCACACAGGGAGGCCCTGCCTCAGAGGGTTCAGGAAGGTGGAAGAAGACCTCCCTGCCCAGTCTCAAATCCCTCCTCCATCACCTGCTGGCTGCAGAATCCTGTTACCAGAGGACAAAGGTTTCAGCTCTAATTAGAGCACAGTTTGGGAGCACAGGCTCTGTGGGAGAGAGCCCAGTGACCTGCCACTCACCCCGTGCAGAACCTTCTGGAAGGTGAACTTTGCCAGAGGGTGCAGAACCTTCTGGAAGGTGAACTTTGCCAGAGGGCGTGGGGAGCTGGTGTGAGAGTGAACCCTCTGAGGGGAGCGCCTGTGAAGGGCAGTAGCATTGGACCTCAGTCCCCCTGTCCTGCAACCTCCTTCATCCTTCCCCAGACCTTTCAGGACCCAGGGAAACAGGGGTGGCGGGGTGGGGGGTGGTTACAAGTATTTTTCTGACTCTCCTTGATCCATCTGCAGCCTCCTTTGCCTCTCCTTCCTTCCTTTCCTCTCCACCTCCCTCAGTCTCTACCCCATTCTCTTTCCCCTTTCTTCCTAGCTAGCCCCTTCCAGCCCCTTCCAGAAAGACCTGGCTGCCAGGCTTCCTGCCGCTTGATTTGTATCCCTGCCCACTCCCACCTCTGCCTCTTGAGCCCACAGGAAAAACAGTAAACTTATTATTATGCTCTTCATTTGTGTGTGTATGGGACATGGGGGGTGGCCCCTTCTCTGGGGACCAGGGTGGAATCTGCTCATCTTTGTGGTCAGTCCCAGGAAGTGAAGTTTCCCTAGGGAGGGAAAAATTCTTTGGAGGCTGATTAACCACCTCTCCACTCCAAAGGGGTGTGTGTGTGTGTGTGTGTGTGTGTGTGTGTGTGTGTCCAAGACTGTGTATGTCCAAGACTCTGGTTCCTCATGCGATACACTGAGGGAGTTGTGTGTTCCCATCCAAGTGTATGTACCTGGTGGAGAGAAAGGATCGTGTGAAACTACAATGTGTGTGGGGGGATTATGTGCACACAACATAAGCGTGAGTTTGTGTGTAGGAAGAGGAAGTGGGGTGTGTGTGCGGCGTGCACCCTTGTGCACCTGTGTGACCCCCACCCCCCAGGCAGACCCAGCTTCATCACACCTGCCCCGGCCCCAGACAGCCTCCAGCACCTGCCCCTCCACGACACTCCCCGCACAGCCCTCACACGGATACACACGGTGACACACGGTAACACACGCTTCCTCCTCCCTGAACAGCCAGCTCCTTGGTCCCCAACAACACCAGCTGCCTCTTTGAGCTGGTGTTCATCTTGGAAAACGGGGTGGGGTGGGGGGCAGGACAGAACCATCTCGCCAATGAAGCGGACTCCCCGCCATCCCGCTCACCCCTCCCTCTCCAGCCTTCCTTGCCCCTCCCCCTCCAAGTCACCGCCGGCCAGTTCTCCGCCCCACCTTGGTCTCCCCACTACTCCCCAAAAGCTGTCCTTCAGTGCCCCCACCCAGACCACGGCGGGATGGCTCTGGGAGAGAGGGGCTCGGAGGGACCTAGGGGGGCAGCGCGGGAGTGAGCGGCGGGCTGAGCCGGGGAGGCTGGGACCGAGGGGGGAGGACCGGAGGGAGGAGGAGGCGGGAGGAGGGAGGAGGAGGGCGGGCGAGCCGGAGCCGGCGGGCGGCGGGAGCCCGGGCAGCCGCGTTGGGAGTGCGGTCTCCATGGCAGTGCGGGGCGCAGCCAGAGGTAAGACGACCCCAGCCCTGTCCCCGCCGCGGACCCTCCCTCCACGCCCCCTGCCTCCCCCCGGGCTGCTCCTCTCCGCGCCGGCCGGCCCCTCCTCCCCGGCCACCTGCTGTGTCTGCCCCGGAGCACCCTGTGGGTGGCAGGAGGGAGGAGCCGCCTGACCTTACCCCTTCACCCCGACGGGCGCGAGAGAGACCCCCGCCCGCCCAGGAGGCTCCCCCACCCCTCCCTCCCACCTGCCTCGGCTCTTTCTCTGTCCTTCACCTCCTTCTCCCTGTCCTTCAGATCCTTCCTGCCTCCCTCCCTCCCTGACGCCCCATCTCTCTCTTTCTGAGCCCACCAGCTGGGGCTGGGTGGGGGTGGCTGGGAAGGGGTCCAAGCCTGTAGGGGCGGGAGTGTGTGTGGGGGTGCTCTTGACCAATTCCTTCCACCTCCCTCTGGCTGGCCATTGCCATGGCAACTGGGGTGCACTGGGCTCCGAGGGAAGACAAAGGTGGGGGGTGGACTAGGACCTCCAGGGAAGGGCAGGGGTCTGAGGGTCTCCCATAGGAGTAGACCCTCCCACTGCTCCATTTTTACCCCCCTTTCCTCCCAAACCATTCTGCCCACCCTCTTGCCTCCACTCTGCTCAGGGTCTCACCTGATTTCCTCTGACCCCCTCCCTGCCCAGGGCTCACTAGAGTCAGCATCACTACCCTCCTTCCTGGCCTACGGGTCCTGAGTCTGGGGCAGGGGTGAAAGCACCAGGGTCTGCTGGGGGGAGGGCGGGGGGCGGTCAGTGCCAGGCTGCACATTTGACTTTTTCTTCGCAGCCGCCCTCTTCCCTGCTCCTTCTCTCCCTCCCTCAACACCTTCCCCAGAGCCTTCTCTGCAGGGGTCTCTGGCCTTCTCCTTCTATTTTAGGATACTATCACTTTGCCCCCTCTTTCTTTTCTGCTCAAACTCTCCTCCTTCCCCCTAGTTCCCCCTCTTTCCATTTCTGGATGCTTCTGATGTCAGCGGTTTCCCCGCCTTCGGGTTCCCTAGCCCCCCCTTCGGTCCCAGACTCCTTTCTCCCATCTTCCCTGATCCCCGGTGAGCCAGGGCAGTGGAACTGGCTTAGGGAATGGGGCTGAGCACTGAGGCCCCTGGACCCCAGAGTCTGGAAGGCTGGGAAGGGGCTGTCACACCACATCCCAGCATCCCGGGAGCCCTCAGAAACAAATGGTACGTACCCAGTCTCTGAAGAGATACTGATATTTAGGGACATGAAGACAGAGGTTGAGAAGGATTGAGCAGGGAATCTAGGAGGTTCCTTCAGAAGGAGGATAAAGGAGTGAAAAAGGACGGAGAGCAGGAAATGAAGGTATCTTTTCTGGAGGTCTGGAGGAGCGGGGCCCTCCAAAGGGGAGTTTGAGTGGTTCTGTGGTTTAAGGCTGGACAATGCTTCCTTCCTAATCACCAGTCGTTTCTATCATTTCAAGGGAAGCAGGGACACAAGGCGCGCTGGAGGCCAGCCTACCCCCTACCTTGCCTCCTCCTCCCACATCTCTTCTCTCCACTGCAATTTGTCCAGGTGTCTGAGCCTCACCCCAGGCCCTTTGGGGCCTCCAGAAGATCCCTGGCTGGTGAAGAACCAGAGGAAGAAGATACGGGAAAGTCTGGTCATGGGGACCAGAGCGCCTCAGTCCACGTCGTAGCTGGGAGAGTGGCCAGCTGTCTCCCCATCAACCAAAGGGCTACTTCACAACAGGCCCCGCCCAATCCGGAGGCAGAGGACGACCTCCGCTGGCCCTCAGTCTCCTCTCCTGCCCTCAGTCCTGCCGTAGCTGGGTCGGTCATGCAAAGCTAAGCAGCAGGGTAGGCCCACAGGCGGCCTGCCTCGCTACAGGGCAGGGGTCGTGGGCATCATGGGGGTGTGTGTGAGCGGGGCTCCTGGGTGAGACCTAGCCCCCACCCCCAGGAGTTCCAGGGGGGTGGGGGGGGCTGAGGAGAGGATGGCGCGGGGCGGGACAGGGGCAGAGGAGGCGTCCCTGCGCTCCAACGCGTTGTCCTGGCTGGCCTGTGGGCTCCTGGCACTGCTGGCCAACGCCTGGATCATCCTCAGCATCTCGGCCAAGCAGCAGAAGCACAAGCCGCTGGAGCTGCTGCTCTGCTTCCTGGCGGGCACGCACATCCTCATGGCGGCCGTGCCCCTCACCACCTTCGCTGTGGTGCAGCTGCGGCGCCAGGCCTCCTCCGACTATGACTGGAACGAGAGCATTTGCAAGGTCTTCGTGTCCACCTACTACACGCTGGCCCTGGCCACCTGCTTCACTGTCGCCTCGCTCTCCTACCACCGCATGTGGATGGTGCGGTGGCCCGTCAACTACCGCCTCAGCAACGCCAAGAAGCAGGCGCTGCACGCCGTCATGGGAATCTGGATGGTCAGCTTCATCCTCTCCACGCTGCCCTCCATCGGCTGGCACAACAATGGCGAACGCTACTATGCCCGTGGCTGCCAGTTCATAGTCTCCAAGATCGGCCTCGGCTTCGGTGTCTGCTTCAGCCTCTTGCTACTTGGGGGTATCGTCATGGGGCTGGTCTGTGTGGCCATCACCTTCTACCAGACGCTGTGGGCCCGGCCCCAGAGGGCTCGGCAGGCCCAGAGAGCTGGGTATGGGGGTGGGGCCAAGGGGGGTGGGCCAGGGGGCCTGGGTACCCGACCAGCCTTTGAGGTCCCAGCCATCGTGGTGGAGGATGCCCGAGGGAAGCGGCGGTCCTCACTGGACGGCTCCGAGTCTGCCAAGACATCCCTGCAGGTCACCAACTTGGTCAGCGCCATCGTCTTTCTCTATGACTCACTCACGGGGGTGCCCATCTTGGTGAGATTGGGGTACTCCACTGATATCCAAATTCCAGCATGATCACCTGACCTCTAACTCATCAGCCATACAGCGACTCCATCACCATCGTCCTGTCTTCTACCCACCCCGCTCCATTTGTGAGCCCCATTTCTGTTATCCATGGTTCAACCTCCATTATGCCATCCCCCAAATCCAAGTCTAGCTCCCACTTCATCCATCCTTCAGTGCCACCGCCTATCCTCCAGCTCCGTCCTCTAGCCTAGGGCTGCACCATCTGGCCCCCTCCCCCACCTATCCACTCTCCGTCCCCTGGTTCCCTGATGCACACAGTGTCCAAGCACGCCTGGGTGGAGATACCACAGGGCCCACCCCGCAGCGCAGCTTTCCCTACTCCCATCTCGTCCCTGTTCCTGAATTTCTCTCTGTCCTAAGTCTACCATATAGGTTTCCCCTGCTCTCTGGAGTAGAATGTTCCCATTCGGAGGGGTTTACCAGCTCAATTTTGGTCTGAGAAAACAATTACTATTAACGTCTGTGAAAAAATTGTTTAATGTACCCAGACACCACCCCCCACTCCAATAACCTATCAAATAGGAACTTTCTACTCCTGCTCCTCTCCTCCAGGCTCCAGGGCTTGGTCCCCGGCACCCTGCTCTGACCTTCCTCTGAGGGGATCCTGTCCCCTGCATTCACCCATCACAAGCTTCAACTTGGCCTCGGTCACGATCCTATGTGATTGGGACCCTCCCTTTCTGACTCCTGCTCTACCTGCTGCACTAGATGTGGATCTGGGGGTCGAGTGGGCCCCCTCAGCTCTGGAGCTTGACCTGGCGCCTTCCCCATCCTCCCGCCAGGTGGTGAGCTTCTTCTCCCTTAAGTCGGACTCGGCTCCCCCGTGGATGGTGCTGGCGGTGCTGTGGTGCTCCATGGCTCAGACGCTGCTGCTGCCCTCCTTCATCTGGTCCTGCGAGCGCTACCGCGCCGACGTGCGCACCGTGTGGGAACAGTGTGTGGCGATCATGTCTGAAGAGGATGGCGATGACGATGGTCAGAGGAGGAACCAGGCTTTCGCTTTACTGGGCCTCGGCTCTCTTTTCTGCCCTTTCTACCCCCCTTCCGTGTGGGGGGATGGGCTGCCCTGGAGTGCCCCCTGCTGGAACAACCCGGGCCCCCCGGGGGCTGACTTCAGCACCCCCTTCCCCTAATCAAGTCCCCTGACGCTGGAACATGGCTTCCTGCTCCTCCGAAGCCTCCCTTCCCTGGACCTCTGTTCCCCTTAGAAACCCCCATCTTGAGAAACAGCCCAGATTAACACAACCATAAAGAAGGCCGTGGAACTAAAGGGCGGCTAAATTTCCTGAGAGAAATGCCCAGCTAGAGTGACAGCGGGAGGGAAGGCATGTTTAAGTATGTCTGCACCGGGGCTTCAGCACTGATCCCAACAGACACTGGCCACACTCACCTTCCTCTTGGAACTTGCAGACTAGTGGGAACAGAAGGATTCTCCAGGAGCGTTTAAAGGGGGGCGGGGTGGAGAGAGGGTGGGTAGTCCTTGTCTGCAACCAGTCTGCCTCTTTCCTAGATGGAGGCTGTGATGACTATGCCGATGGCCGAGTGTGCAAAGTTCGATTTGATGCTAATGGGGCCACGGGACCAGGAGGCAGGGACCCCACCCAGGTGAAGCTGCTGCCGGGAAGACATATGCTCTTTCCTCCTCTTGAGAGGGTCCACTACTTACAGGTACGGGGCCAGGGAATACACGTCCTGTCCTGGGTATGCCCTCACCACTTATCTTCAGTCTGTCATCCATCCTGCCCCCGTTCCCTTAGCTGGACCTCCAGGGCAGGTGAAAAGAAAGGCATGGTGGGCAGAAGAGGCTCAGTTCAGACCTCTCAGAAGCAGCTTGCCCCCAGGGGGATGTCTTGCAGGAGTTCCAGGGGATGAGCCATCTTGCAGAGTCCTCACTTGGGTCCCTGCCTCTACCCCTTGATAGAGGGGTCCCTGCAGCACCTCTGGCCTCACTTGCTCCTCTCCCCAGGTTCCTCTGTCTCGACGTCTGTCCCACGATGAGACCAACATCTTCTCTACCCCTCGGGCTCCAGGCTCCTTCCTGCACAAGTGGTCATCCTCTGATGACATCCGGATCCTCCCAGCCCAGAGCCGGGCTCTGGGGGGCCCTCCTGAGTACCTGGGACCAAGACAAAGGCTGGAGGATGAGGAGGATGAGGAGGAAGCTGAAGGTGGTGGGTTGACCAGCCTTCGGCAGTTCCTGGAAGGTGGGGTTCTGGGGTCAGGTGGTGGGCCCCCACGTGGTCCTGGCTTCTTCCGGGAGGAGATCACCACCTTCATCGACGAGACACCTCTGCCTTCTCCGGCGGCCTCACCAGGGTCCTCTCCTCGCAGGCCTAGGCCACTGGGAATCTCGCCCCGCCGACTCTCCCTTGGGTCCCCCGATAACCGAGCCATTGGACTTCCTTTGGGGCTAAGTTCAGGGAGACGCTGCTCTCTGACAGGGGGTGAGGGGAGTGCAAGAGCTTGGGGAGGATCGTGGGGACCAGGCAACCCCATCTTTCCCCAGCTGACCCTGTGAGCCCAAGTGGGCCTGCGGGACTCAGAATGGGGCCCGGAGAGGGAACACCTTCTTCTGCCCTGAGCCTAAGGTGGCTGCCTCCAGACTCCCGGGACATGGGCGCTGGATCTGGGGCCCCAGAGCCTGCTGTCTCCCATGCAAGTGACCAGATGCCCTCCTCATCCATCATCCCTAGCAAAATGTATTAAAGTCTGAAGTGTTACCATCAAAACCTCTGTGTCCAATGTGCTATGGGAGCAAAGGTTGTGGTCCGAGGCTCAGGAGTGAAGTAGCTCACAGAGGATAAAATAGAGTGGGGGCTGTGGTCAGAGGCACAAAAATACACAAGAAAAGACACAAACTCAAACAAGCAGACAGACAGGCTTCTAAGCGCACCTCCTGCTGCGGGGAGGGAGGCGAGGCAAACACTCTACTTCGCTGCCTTGGATGTGAAGGATTTCTGTTCAGATTTATGGAGGTGGTTTGAGAACGTGACCCTTCCCTCCTCCCTGACTCTACTCCTTCCCCCAAATCTGTTCAGGGTCCAGGCGTCTCCATCTGAATAGGAAAGGGTTTGGGCCTGACTTGGTGTCCCTGGCCTGGAGTTTACCCTCCTCCTCTCTCTCTATTCTAAAGCTCTTTCTCCAAAAGTGTGGGAGGGAGGCTGGCTGAGTGTGGGGAAGGCATCTGCGCTCCTTTTCCTGGACTCGAGAATGGCAGGGGCGCTCAGCCCCCTAGCTACTAGCTACCACCACCCCTCGGGCTACAGGGATGGCGAGACAGGGTCCCCAGAGGCTCCCCACACTTCATCCAAGGCAGGGGGCCTGCTCCCGTTTGTCCCTTTCCCCTCCTCTCTCCACGGGCTGTTTCTCCTCCCGCGCTGCCCCACTGGGCTGCCAGGCTGCCTTCCCCGCTCTCGGCCTGCTGCCCCGACTGCTCCCCATCTTCCAGATCGGCCTCTCCCAGGCTTGGGTCTCGGCCCATCGGCCGTCTTTGCCCGCTCATTCCTCCTTCCCTCCTCACCCCCGCCCCCCCATCTCTCCTTCCTTTCCCCTCCCTGTCCCTCCCCCTTCCCTCTCTTCTCCATCTCCGCGCCCGCATTTCCCTTCGGCAGCCGGCCCCGGGCCCTGGCACCATGCTCCGGCTCCTCCGGCTGCTGCTGCTGCTACTGCTGCTGCCGCCCCCGGGGTCCCCGGAGCCCCCGGCCTGGCCCCGCTGTCCCCCGGGGCGCGCCCTCAGCCCCCCGACTTGCTCTACGCCGACGGGCTGCGCGCCTACGCGGCCGGGGCTTGGGCGCCGGCGGTGGCGCTGCTGCGCGAGGCGCTGCGGAGCCAGGCGGCGGTGGGCCGCGCTCGGCGGGATTGCGGGGCGCGCTGTGCCGCGGAGCCCGGGGAAGCGCTCCCCCCGCCCCTGGAGCCGGGCCCCGAGCCCCGAGCGGCGCGGGGCTCCTGGGAGCCGCTGCTCCTCCGCGCCGCGCTCCGCCGCGCAGAGTGCCTGAGCCAGTGCGGGGCGCAGAGCCTGGGCCCCGGGGGCGCGGCGCGGCTCCGCGTGGGGAGCGCGCTCCGGGAAGCTTTCCGCCGCCGAGAGCCCTACAACTACCTGCAGAGGGCCTACTACCAGGTGCGGGAGCCGCGGGGGCCGTCGCCGGGGTACCCCCTCCCCGCCCCGACGACCACGTAGCGGGCCTACTCGGCGCCCACCAGCAGAGGGCGGAATGCTAGCGCCCCGGACTCGGGGTGGGCCTGGAGGGGGCGGGCCACGGACCCCCTCTTTCGAGTAAATCCTGTGGAAATCGCATCAGGTTACCCGCTGAGATCGCTTGGAAACAGCCCTCCGTGAAAATGGGGGTGGGGGCATCTGGAGGCGGAGTAAAAGTAGATCGGAAATGCATGATGGACGGAAGGACATTTTACTGGGTTTTACTGAGACCTAGTTTGGGGTGAGCGCCTCCTGTTTCTAGGAATGAAGTGGAGGGGTAGTGGATCAGCAAAGTAGGGGTTGGGGTTTGAGTGTGTGAGCCTTGCTTGGGGTAGAAGGGAGGTAATTGGAGGGAGGCGAGGCTGAGGCGCCCCTGGCCGGTGTCAGGAGGCTGGGGGTGGTGGACAGGCCTCAGCGGCTGGTACAGTAGTTGCCTACAGCCTACGTGGCTGGGAGAGGGGCGCTGGTCACACCCCAGCTCCGGGTCCTAGAGATTCGCGGGTTTTGCTTTTCTTCCCCGCTTCCCCACTTAGCCATCTCTTCCAGTGTTTCTTGAGCTTGAGCCCCAGATCCCGTCCATTCCAAAGTCTTCAGACCCCTTTTCTTGAGCAGCAAGACTCCTAAGAACCCCAACATACTAGTTTCTAAACAGGCATCTAGTGGTTGGGAAGAGGGCGGTTCTGACAGGCGTGTCTTCCAGAAGGCTCTGCGGGAGTCAGGGGTGTATGTCAGGGGTGATTGTGGAGTGGGGAGGCTGGTGAGGAGGCATGGGTCTGACATCCCCACCTCAGAGCATTGACTCCCTTCTCCTGCTTCTCAGCTGAAGAAGTTGGACCTGGCAGTAGCTGCAGCGCACACCTTCTTTGTAGCAAACCCAACACACCTGCAGATGCGGGAGGACATGGCTAAGTACAGACGGATGTCGGGGGTTCGGCCCCAGAGCTTCCGGGACCTGGAGACACCCCCATACTGGGTGAGACCCTGTCCTAACCCCAGTCTCTCACAGGACTGTGGCCCATCATACCTCAGGCATCTGATCTGGGTATTGTCCTTCATGACCAGAGATGGGGAGTCCCTCTCTGGGACTTTGTTTCCTTTCTGAGACTCACAAAAGTGCTGTTATTCTGAGGTCCACCTCCCCCAACTGCCACGTGTCAAGGTGAAGCGAGACTTGGAGTCTGTGTCCCACATGAGATTCATCTTTCTATCTCCCAGTCTTGTTTGCCACCCCCTCCTCCAGAAGCTCAGGTAACTGACCATTTCCTTCCCCAACAGGCAGCTTATGACACTGGACTGGAGCTACTGGGGCGCCAGGAAGCAGGACTGGCACTGCCCAAACTGGAGGAGGCCCTGCAGGAGAGCCTGGCCCAGATGGAGAGCTGCCGGGCTAGCTGTGAAGGGCCTGAGGAGCAGCAGAGAGAGGAAGAGGAGGAAAAAGGGGCTGGGAGTCAAGGAGGCCTCTATGAGGCCATTGCAAGTAAGGAACTGGGAATGTGGGGAGCCTTAGGGTGCCAGGGTAGGTGCATGCATGAACTGAATGGCCCATGTGGCCTCCACAGGGCACTGGATTCATGTCCTACAGTGCCGGCAGCGCTGTGTGGGGGACACAGCCACGCGACCTGGTCGCAGTTTCCCTGTCCCCGATTTCCTTCCCAGTCAGCTGAGGCGGCTGCACCAAGCCCATGCACAGGGTGAGTTGGAGAAGGGTGAGCCTTGGGGTTAGTGGGATGAGAAACAGGAAAAGCAAAAGCTTGTCTCTGATGCTATCCTGAGCCCCAACTCTTCTTCCCTCCCTCTGTCTCTGCATCTGTTGGTCAGGGCCCCATGGGGACCACCGCTCAGGATACTACTTGGCTGTCCTTTGGAGCCACTGTGGACAGCTCAGGAGATGGGTCACAGATGGGTTCCTCCTCTTCCTCCCTCTGCTGCTCCTCAGACCCTTCATAGTCGGCCGGGCACCTCTCCATCTGGGCCAGGCTCTCTTGCAAGGGCCTCCTCCAGCCTGGGCAGTACCTTTGCTGCTTCTCACCCGTCTTTATTTGTTTCTTTCTTCTCTCTTGCTTTGAACTCTACCCACACAGCTGAGGTATGTTTGAGTAAGTTTTGGAAAGAAACAATGGATGAACATGGCTGCCTGCTGGCATGGGGCTTTGGAGTTGGTGGGCATAGGGAGATCACCTTCTGGGGCTCTGTCTCTGTCTTCCTCTGCCTCCACCCATTGATCATTGTTCTCCATGTCTGTCTCCAGTGGGGAATCTGTCCCAGGCTGTGGAAAATGTCTTGAGTGTCCTGCTCTTTTACCCGGATGATGAAGCCGCCAAGAAGGCTCTGAACCAGTACCAAGCCCAGCTGGGAGAGCCAAGGCCCGACCTGGGGCCCAGAGAGGTATCCCTCCCTCCACACTTACCTGTGACCTAGCTCTAAATCAAGCAAATAAACCTGAGAAGTACCTCAAGAGCCCCCCCCCACACCCTATTCTGGGCCAAGCATTCTGATCATCAAAGGCCCGAGTCCAGTATCTGCTCTCTAAGTCCACTCCTGCTCCTCACAGCAGACTCTACATCTGAGCCCAAACCCCAGCCCATCCTTCTCCCTAGCCTCACCCCTGCCTGCCCCGCCTTCTGAAAAGGCGGTATGCACACACATACATCCTCCCTCCCGCCAGATGCCCCATGGCTGCTGAAGGAGAAAAGTTGAATGAGAGCATAGTGAAGGCTTTAAGGAGCATGCAGGCTTCATGCTAAAACTTGGGGCTCCCACGCTCCTCCAGCCTTAACTTCCCTGCCCCATGTCACCCCCTTCTCCTGATTGTCCACTTTGTCTTAGGATATCCAGCGCTTCATCCTGAGGTCTCTGGGAGAGAAGAAGCAGCTCTACTATGCCATGGAGCACCTGGGGGCCAGCTTCCATGACCCAGTGAGTAAGGGTCCTTGTGGGAGCCACTGCTTGCCACCCCCACCCCCTCAGTGGACCCCCACTGCCCAGTAACAGCAGTACCCTACATTTCTGTGTTACTTCAGTTCACAACTTTTCCACAACCTGTGAGGCTTCACAGGGACAGAGGTGGGTACCTGTGGTCGAGGGCGCCATTGGGGTGTTGCAGGCGAAGTGTCGGTTTGGGTGCTACTCTCAGACAGTCTGGACCCTCACTTGCCTGAGCCTCAGTTGCCTTATCTGTAAAACTGGCACAGGCCCGGGCCTCCCCGGTGGCGCAGCGGTTGAGCGCTGGGTTGCGAAGCTGCCCACGGCCTCTGCGGCGCCGGTTCAATCCCCGGCTGCTCCCCGGCCACCGGAGGAGGGTCCCACATGGCGCGCAGACCTCTCCTGCCGTCCACTGCTCCCCTCAGCAGTGTACTTCGGTCCTTCTGCCTGCTCTGCTCCCCGCTCTGGCTCTGGTGAATTATTTCACCCTCCTGCGCTTCTGACTGTACCCAGTGCATGTATAAACTAAACAAACAAACAAATAAATAAATAATACATGCCTCTTTAAAAAAAAAAAAAAAAAAAAACTGGCACAAGCCCACTGGTCTGTTTGCTACAAACTCTAGAAAGCTGGGCTGCTGCTGCTTTGTTTGCTCTGTGTTGTAGCTAGAAGGGACACTGAAGGCAGCAGGTATTCATCCCGAGTCCTATAGCATAAAGCAGGGGCTCCCCACCTTCTTGGCACTATTGACAGAGGATGGCACTGTCCTAGGCATTGCAGGTGAAGCAGCTTCCCCGGCACAGTCACCCTGATTGAGAACCAGTGGTTCCAAGCATGGACCCCGAAGCAAGTTTAAGTCCCAACTCTATCATTCACTAGCTGTGTGATCTTGGGCGTGTCACTTCACCTCTGTCTCAGAATCCTTAGTTGCAACTGGGCACATTAATACTATCTGTTTAAGACTGTGGTAGACTTTCAATGATAAATTCCACTTCCGTGTCTAAAGCTATTAGAATACCATCTGGCACACAGTGCTTTGTAAGTGGTCATTGTTGGATTATTATTACAGAGTTTGGCCCAGTGCCCAGGGCTCCCGACAATGAGTCGGGGCTTTTCCCACCTCTAGAAGCAGGAGGACCTTAATGTGGTAGTGCAGTCTGATGTCAGGAGGCTGGGGCTGGACTGGGTAGGTGATGCTGCTTCTCCTGACTGTCCCAGGACCCCTGGACCCCACCAGCTCTCATCCCTGAGGCACTTAGAGAGAAGCTCAGGTAGGAGATGGCCTGTGTCAGGAGGGGCCTGGCCTGCACTGGAAAGGGGGCGGGTCCTAGAGGCAGGGTCTGGGGAAGATGGGCCTGCACCGCCCTGTGCAACCACTGAGCTTGTCTCTCACCCCTGAGAGAGGATCAAGAGAAGAGGCCTTGGGATGATGAGCCTCCACAGCCCAAGCCTTTCACCGCCTGGAAGGGTAAGTTCCTGAGAAAGCAGGAGGTAGGAGCCTGGAGGGCCTGGAGGTGGCTCTCAGGAATCCTTAGGCCCTCTGCCCTGTCCCTTCCCTACAGATGTCCTCCTATTGGAGGGAGTGACCCTGACCCAGGACGCGAGACAGCTGAATGGGTCAGAGCGGGTAGTGTTGGACGGGCTACTCACGCCTGCCGAGTGTGGGATGCTGCTACAGCTGGCCAAGGTAGGAATACCTGAGAGGAGGTGGCACAGGCAGCCTGGGAGGGGCCCTCAACTGCACTGCCTGACCCCTTGCTCTTGGCCTGGTCCCTCTTATGCCCTCTCAGACTCTCTATTGCTTCACAGTTATGGAAACTTCCTCATTCTCTCAACTGAGGCGTCAAGGGGTAGATGTTCTTTCCAAGAGAATTCTGTTAGTCATTGAGAGAAGAACAAAATAAACAACACTATAAAAAAGGTGTGAGGACTCCTCAGTCAGCCCAGAGTTTAGTTATGACTTGGCTGATGGCGCAGTGGATGGCCAGGCTTCTTTCCCCACCCGTGGCTTCTGCTTCTAGTTTGGGTGGAAGGATCTATGTTTACCTGTCCCAGTCTGCCCTGATAGGAAGCATCAATCCTCATTCTAGGCTGTTCATTCAACAGCAACACACACTCGTGAGTACCTGTTGTGTGTACACCCAAAATGACTAGGTGCAGAGAGGGGTAGATGAACACACACTGCATTCAGGAGCTCCCTGGGTAGAGAAGGAATCAGATGCTAAGACACGTAATTAGAGCGGGTGGTAAGTCTGATAAAAGAAGTACGAACTCATCCAGATAGAAGCGCCAAAATGCCAAGTCACAGAAGGCTTACCGGAGGGGGTGGCATCTGAGCTCCATCTCAGGGATGAGCTAACTAGGCAGAGAAGGGGAGAAAAGTCAGGCTTCGAGGGAGAAGCACAGAGCTATTCTGGACACCGTGGTAGAGCCCGGGAGTTGAGAGCATGGGCCAGCCCCAGCAATTACCTGTGTGACCTTGGGCACTGCATCGTAACAACGCTGAGCCTATTCCCTCCTCTATAAAGTGGAGCTAAGTGCAGTGTTTTGGCTGTGGGGTTTGTAAGCATCATGACGTGGTAAAACGCTTAGAATATCAGAAGTGCTCAGTGTTGGCTTCACCATTATTTGTCATCAGGCTGTATGTTATCCGGAGGCTGTATAGGGATGGGCAAGAGACTGTGAAGGTCCTTCTGTACCCTGCCAAGGAACTTGGACTTTGTTTGCACATTGTGGTCAGGGGGAGAGTTTGGTGTTCCTGCACAACCTCTAAGGGCAGTTCTGGAGTCACCATCCTGTAGAACTGGAAAGTCCCTCTAGCGGCAGTGAGGAGAATACAATGGGGGAGGAACAGAAATGGAGACTTCTGGGGCAATGCTGGACTGCCAATGCCTTAGGTTAGGTCTTCATTTAAAGGGAATAAAGTGAGGGGGGCAGATGATAAATACTTAGAAAATCAAAGACAGAGAAGGTAAAGACTCAATCTGTGTGGAAGATGATGAAGGAAGGGCATTCAGGGCCTTTTCTTTTAAGATTTTTATTTTTATTTATGCATACAAGAACTGGGGTGTAGGTCAGAGGTGCACAGGGTGAGAGGACTCACCAGAGTGGGGAGCAGAACAGGTGGATCTACTGAAATACACTGCTGAGGGGAGCAGCGGGTGAGAAGGGAGAGGTCTGCTGCACCATGTGGGTCAGCTACCTGGCCAAGGATCAAACCTCTGGAGATCGAACTCATGCTGCAGTGGCTAGCCATAACTTGACAGTGCTGAGACTTTAACCCCTGTGCCACCAGGGAGGCCCAAGTCCAGGGTCTTCTTTCTGTTTGCTGATCACACTGGAGTCATTCTGGCCTCAGACCTTTGCCCCTGCTGTTTCTGCTACGTGAAACATTTTTTTCCCTTGGATATTCAGGGGCCTCCTGTTAAACATTTGATTTAGATGTCACCTGTCAATTAGCCTTCCCCAAACCCTGCCTGGGCACTCCCAATGCTGTTTTCATTTTCTTCACCACACTTACCACTATCTGATTTTATCTAGTCTGTTTGTTTATACCTCAAGCTATAAACCCACAAGAGCAGGGACTTTCCCATATGTCCCAGTGTCTAGAACTGTACTTGGCACATACAGGTGCTTAGCACAAATTTGAATACAATTTGGAGAATAAATGAATACTGAACTTGAAGGTTAGAGGGTTTGGGTGGCTAGGTGGTCTCTCAAGGATGCGATTTATATGCAGAGGGAACTAGGTAACAGTGTACTTTACTGGAGTTTCAAAAAGCAGACAAGAGAATAGGTGTCAGGAGAGGAACATTCAAATCCCTGGAGACCCCCAGGTGATGAGAGTCACCTACATGGTTACGTAACGGGGACTCTCACTTCTCTGAGAGCATGTCAGGTGGGGAGAGATGAGGGAGTGACACCACTGCAGTGCTGTCCCCTGCTCCCTCCTCCCCCAGGAACTGACTATAGAACTTCCTGTTGGGGTCCTGCTTCTACAGAGATGCAAGCCTTCCTGCCCCCCTTCCCCAGCCCTCCTTACCCTCTCAAGGATCCCTCACCACTGTAAGAAGTTCTCCAGAGTGTGCAATTCCAGATCTTTGCCAGTAAGTCACAATACAGGGCCTTCCTGGTGGTGCAAGGGGTTAAGCACCACACTGCGAAGCAATCCGCAGCCTCTGCAGCACGAGTTTAATCCCCAGCTGGCCAGGGAGCAACCCTCATGGTGCCACAGACCTCTCCTGTCTTGCCCGCTGCTCCCCTCAGCAGTGTATTTCGTCAGTCTGTCTGTTCTGCTCCCCACTCTGTCTCTGGAGAGTCCTCTCACACACACACACACACCCCTCGCATTTCTGGCTTGTACCCCACCTCTTGTATGCATAAATACATGAATCTTTAAAAAAGAAAAGAAAAGAAAAGAAAGTCACAATACAGACATGAAGATAGTCCTTTTCTGGGAAAGTCATTTTTCCCAAGAAAATGAGCCACAAGAGAACTCTGGTTGCTTGTCACCTCTTCCAGGGAGGGGAGAGGTCGGAGGCAAGGGCTTGTAGCCCAGCAGGCAGTGAGGTGGGTGACAGCCTTGGACCTGGGGACAGCAACTCCATAGTCAACTCCCTCCCCACTTAGGATGCTGCTGGGGCTGGAACCAGGTCTGGTTACCGTGGCCGGCGCTCCCCGCACACTCCCCATGAGCGCTTCGAGGGGCTCACAGTACTCAAGGCTGCTCAGGTGAGAAGTGGCCCCAGGCCTGGTCTGGAGGCCAGGATTGAAGAAGATGCCCAGGCAGCTGGGCACCAGGCCTGGGCTTCTTGTGGAGGCCTCTCCTGGGACTGAGAGAGCCCAAGTCCTCCACCCAGGGCTGAGGAGGGGTCCTCCCAGACCCAGGGGCCTGCATTGTTGTCATGGAGCCAACAGAAGGGACAGTTTGGGCTGATGGACAGAGCTGGCTGCTGAGACACTCCAGGCCCATGGGTGGAGAATGGTGGAAGTGGGGCAGCTCCGAGATCACCCTCCCAGCGTCTCCCCCCTTTCTGGTCTTTCACTCCCTTCCTGCAGCTGGCCCAGGCTGGGACTGTCCGTGGGCAGGCCGCTAAGCTCCTGCTGGAGGCCAGCGAGCGTGTGCGGACCTTGACACAGGCCTACTTCTCTCCAGAGCGGCCCCTGCATCTTTCCTTCACCCACCTGGTGTGCCGCAGCGCCATAGAAGGTAATGAGGGGCCCTAGCAGCTCCTCCCCACTTTGGGCCCCTGTTGGGCACTGTATACTCTTAGCACCCTGTGTAGGTTTCAGTCTTCACTCCAAAATGGTGCTGAGGGCCTCCCGGGTGGCGCAGAGGTTGAGCGCTGGGTTGCGAAGCTGCCCGCAGCCTCTGCGGCGCCGGTTCGATCCCCGGCTGCTCCCCGGCCACCGGAGGAGGGTCCCACATGGCGCGCAGACCTCTCCTGCCGCCTGCTGCTCCCCTCAGCAGTGTACTTTGGTCCTTCTGCCTGCTCTGCTCCCTGCTCTGGCTCTGGTGAATTCTCTCACCCTCCCGCGCTTCTGACTGTACCCAGTGCATGTACAAACAAACAAACAAACAAATAAATAAAAAAAAAAAAAAAAAAAAAAAAACCATGCCTCCAAAATGGTGCTGATTCCCCTGCCTAAGTGGGGGCCCGACTCCCTGCCCACTTATAGTGCCCAGGCTGCGGTGGGACATGGGTGGTGGTGGATGGGCCTGGGGTCACCAGGCCCCTGTGCTTCCTAGGCGAGCAGGAGCAGCGCATGGACCTGAGTCACCCAGTGCATGCTGACAACTGTGTCCTGGACCCCGACACCGGAGAGTGCTGGCCGGAGCCCCCAGCCTACACCTACCGGGATTACAGGTGGGCGGCCCTCTGGGGGCCAGGCAGGTGGGCCCGGGTTGGGGTCTCATGGCCTCCTGTCTTCCTCCCCTCAGTGGACTCCTCTACCTCAATGAAGACTTCCAGGGTGGGGACCTGTTCTTTACAGAACCCGATGCTGTCACCGTGACGGTGAGTGGGTGGATGTGGGGTGGGGGGAACCCCAGCTGTGCGGTCAGGATTCAAAACAGAAGGTTCTCAGAGGCAAATGTAGGGAAATGGCTGGGGCCACCTTAACCTTTTGCTTTCTGGGCCTCCCCAGCCCTCTCCACCTCTTGTCTTTGTCCGGGCTCTCAGAGGTTGAGATGTGCTGCCCTCGCCCCCCAGGAGATCTCTAAGCAGCCCCTCCAGACCCTGCCTTCAATCTTTGCCTCCCCGCCTAAAGCCCCCCATGTCCCTATTCCAGTGAGTGGGGCCTTGAAGTAGCCCTCCCTCACCACAGCGAGACCAGGCAGCTTGGCGGGGCCTTGAGTTCACATTTTGGCTCCTGACCTTTCTGAGGCTCAGTTTCCTAAATGGAGGTGAAATAGCAGTATCTGCTTTCACAGGCAGGTCACTTGGATGATGCATCTGAAGGAATAAGCCCGCACCTGGTAGTAGTGAACAGCGATTAAGGAACAGTGAATAAGCGTTAGGTGGTGTTATTACCCCTCCCTCCATTTCTGGATCATGGAAATTTCCAGGAAGAAACCAGGGACTGAAATTGGGTAGAAGGAGAGGGGCTGTGATTCTCCCTTGTCTGTTGCTGTCTCCCTCAATGACTTCCTCTCTGCTTACCCACCAGCTCTCTGTAATCCAAGCCCTCCTTGGGGGGAATATGTCCCCAGGATCATCTCCCCAGTACCCAGGACTGCACTCATACAGTCAGCTTACTTCTCACCCTGAGGCAAAGGCTCTAACAGGAAAAGTCTGGGTGTGGATAAGGGAAGGGGGGACCAATAGTAACCCTCGATGGACCCCACCTTGGGGTCTAACTCTCTAGCCTCAGTCTAGTGTTTATGCTGCTCAGGTTGAGACCATTTCCCATTAGCTTCAAGATACTCCCAGGATTCAGGAGTGGGAAGTGATGGGCAAGCGAGCTGACCTTCCTACTCTGCCCTGCTCCAGGGAGTCAGGGCCCAGCTCACAGAGGGCCTGTCCCTGGAGCTGACCCTGCCCTCCCCCCCAGGCTCGGGTTCGTCCTCGCTGTGGACGCCTCGTGGCCTTCAGCTCGGGTGGGGAGAACCCCCATGGAGTGTGGGCCGTGACGAGGGGACGGCGCTGCGCCCTGGCACTGTGGCATACATGGGCACCTGAGCACAGGGAGCAGGTGAGGGGCACGGGGGTAGGAAGGGGTGTGGCTCTCCTGGTGGGGAGGGTGAGCAGGCTGATGTGAAGGGTGGGGGCTGAGATGATCAGGGAGTATCCTTGGGGCAGAGCAGAGGCAGGGGATTGGGCCGCGTTCTCTTCTACACCCTGCAGGAGTGGACAGAAGCCAAAAAGCTGCTGCATGAGTCAGAGGAAGAGGAGGAAGAGGAAGAAATGCCCAACAGAGACCCTTCCCCAGAACCCCCCAGTCTCAGACTTCAGCAGGTACAAGACAAGCCTAGGAAGCTGCCTCGGGTTCGAGAGGAGCTGTGAGAAGCCAAGCCAGCTCTTTGGAGACATGGCCACTTGGCTTGTGAAGGGCCGCCTGGATGCCAGGGCCCACGGGAAACCTCCATAGAGCAGGAGCGGAACAACAAACTCTGCCCTGTGCCGCCCCATCTTGGGGATCTCAAAGGCCATGCAGCCCTGGACTCAGAGGATGCCGCACATACTAGTCTAGAGCTCCCCAGGCCTGGGGAGCCAGGCCAGACCCCAATTGGTAGCCATCCAGACCTAGGACAGACAGACTGCACTATGCCTGCCTGGAAGGAAACAGCAGGTGGACCTGACTGCTGGAAATGGGGATGAGAAGGGAGGATAACCCCACTGCCCTCCCCCAGCTGGTCAATAAAGAATGTGAAGATCTCTCCACCAAAGCCGAGTCAAGTGTTTCCCCATTTCTGCAGCTCTCTGGGGTGGGTGTGGCAATGGCGACCTGGTAGGAGGCAGGAGACTTGGCCTTCCAGAGGCTGCTGCTCCAGTCTGTGATTTGTCAGGGAAATCTCTGCCACCTGCTCTCTTATGCAAATAGACTCAATCCCCTTATAGCTGCTCCTTGGGCCTCCATCTCTAAGCTCTATCTTCCCTCTCAGGCCTTCGCCAAGACTTAGGGCAGCCTGACCCCCGGCTCCTACCTTTCCAGTGCGACTTCCGAGTCCTAGGATTCCTGAGAGGGCCAACCCCCAGACTGAGATTGCCCTGCACTTGCAAACCTTCCTCCACCCAGAGCAGGGCCAGGCCTGTCCAGTCTTCTGTATATCTCCCCCTAACCCCGGGATCAGACCCAGGGGCAGCTGGTTGGGGTTTGTCAAGAAGGATTATCCAGATCAGTCCTTTTTAATCTCAGCTTCTGCCTGCACCCTCCACGTAGTCACCATAGTTTCCCCTACCATCCCGTGCTTGGGAACACAATATTGAGAGTTGACAATGGGCTGCGTCTCATCCTCCTATCCCGGCTCATGAACTGGTTTACAAGGTAGACCCTGACTGCCAAGATCACCACCATTGGTGGGGCCCAGGCCCTGGGCCTTTGCTACTGCTACTTTGCACCTCCCCCAAGCCCCACCCCTTAATCCTGACAGCATTGCTCTAATCCCACAGGGCCTGATGCTCTTATCTCTGCCTGCAGAGACTGGTCTAGGAAGCACCTCTTCAGCCCCTCCTCCCTCTCAGGGCTCACTGTGGGGGGCTGCTCCTTTCTATAGCCCCACACTCCTGCTTCCACCCCTCCCCCAGTGGGGCTCAAGTCTCTCTGGAAAGCCACACACCTCCCTCCCTGTCCTCTCCCCTCACCCAGCCAGCTGATTTCATTTGCCTGATGTAGGCCCTACCCTTCCCTCTTAGTGTCGTCCCCCCCTCGTTTGCCCCGCCCCCCCACACCGCCAGACGGGGCCAGGCCAGGCCAGGCCAGCTCCTCTGGCAGCAGAGCTGGGGCAGGTGACAGGCGGACGTTGCAGCTGAGGAGTGAGGAGGCGCCTGGGAACCTGAGCTGGAAAGCTGGGAGAGGTCCAGTCAGAGCCCAAGTAAGAGGGAGCTGGCCTGGCTCTGCTCTCTGGAGCTAGGGACTGTAGGGAGGGCTCAGGGCTGGGGCTGGCGGCACAGGACCCCAAACTTGGAGGGACTGGGGGGATGGTGGTGCAGGCCATCCAGTCATTTCCCTATTTCTGGGAGTCAGCTCTATACCTCAGGAGGAGTCTGGTATGGGGTGTGGACAGAAATATCACTTGGGGAATCCCTCTATACCTACCCCATGTCCCTGGCAGGAGCCGGAGCTACCCCTCAACCTGTCAGCCATGGGGGAGATGGAACAACTACGGCAGGAAGCGGAGCAGCTCAAGAAGCAGATTGCAGTAACCCCACAACTCTCCCATGGGTGACCTAAGAAAACAGACCCCGGACATGAGGAAGTGTGGCCTAGGGGGCAGGGGGTTGGATTCACTTTTGAATGACATCTTAGAGATCTGAAAGTGATGAGAGACCCTGAATTTGGAGCTTATCCTCGAAGCACTAGAGTCCCACGCCTACCTCTGAGAGCCAGGCCCCCACGGCGCCCATCCTGCCCTCACCCGCCCCTGATGTCTGCTTTCCCCCCAGGATGCCAGGAAAGCCTGTGCTGACATCACTCTGGCAGAGGTGAGACCTCCTCTCCCCCTGAGGTGGGGCCAGGGGAGGGGATGGGTGGGGAGCTCCCTGACCAGCAGCAGCCTGGGCTCAAGCTTTAGTACAGCCTGTCCTTGAAATGAGGGACAACATTAATACCTTCATTCAACAAACATGAAACGAGACCTGCTGCAGGCCAGGCCTGTATCGGAGACTGAAGGCACAGACCCTGTCCCCATCCTGTCCACAAAACAAGTGTAGTCACACCCCCTGGCAGGGAGGTGACAGTGAGGAGAGGGATGGTGCTGTGTCAACCATAAAGGCCCCCCAGCTTCTCATCGTTCATTGCCTAATTTTGTACTTAATCAATCGCGCATTTCCTCACATTTCACGTCTCTGAAATCAAGACGCATCCAACAATGAATGATGCTTTGCAATTATAATTGGCAGCATCTTTCTTTTTAGTGATCCATAAAAGAAGGGTGCTTTTTAAAGCTGGTGGCATTGTTAGACTGAACAACACGTGAGTAGTAAGAGCAAGTGTTTAAAAGACAAGTACCAGACACTGGGCTACGTTACCTAAGTATGTAGTTTCCTTGATTTTCAGGACAACCCCATCAGGTAGGTGCTTTAAGGCTTGTGTTACAGATGAAGAAACAAGCTCAGAGGGGTGAAGTAACTTGCCTAGGATAACACAGCCAGTAAGTCATCAATCAAGTCAGTTCACTCTGGAGGCCCAGGCTAATCCTGGAAGCTGCTTGGAGTTTAAGGGGTATAGACCACAGATTTCAGGAGGTGCAGTTCAAGGTCATGGTGCTGCTCTGAGTGCCCAGTTCCAGAGCTGGCATGCTGCAGTGGGGTGTGAGAAGGCTCCCCATGACTTGGCAGAGAACCCCAAGTCCAGACTCAGCGACCTCAGGTGGACAGCTTGAAATTGCTCAAGGTGGGAGTATTTATGTGAGGAAGATCACTGTCCCCCCTCCCTTCACACCCTCCGACACATTGGTGAGGTGGCTGTTGACACTTAGCCACAAGCTGCTGGTCCTTTGTGTGTCTGTCTGCTTGTCTGTCTCCCACATCCCCCTAAGCCACTTCAGCGCAGGGACATATTTTTCTAAAGCCTGGCATGGAACAGAAACCTGTTCAGATCAGTAGCAGTGGCACTGACATGCAGGCATCCTGTTCCCCCTGATTTCTCATGCCCTTTTCTGCAGTTGGTGTCTGACCTGGAGGTTGTGGGACGGGTCCAGATGCGGACACGGCGCACATTAAGGGGACACCTGGCCAAGATCTATGCCATGCACTGGGCCACTGACTCCAAGTGAGGCTGGAGAGGGGCTCAGAGGGGAGGCGGAGGCAGGAGGGAGAGGTGAGGGTGACCTAGGGTGCCCTCTCCCCAGGCTGCTGGTAAGTGCCTCGCAAGACGGGAAGCTGATTATATGGGACACCTATACCACCAATAAGGTACCAGCCCTGCTCTCCCCCTATCCCCCTCCGAGAACCCCCCACCACCACTCCCGGAGCTCAGCTCAGGCACTGGCTCTACCCCTCCGGCAGGTGCATGCCATCCCCCTGCGCTCCTCTTGGGTCATGACCTGTGCCTATGCCCCGTCAGGGAACTTTGTGGCATGTGGGGGACTAGACAACATGTGCTCCATCTACAGCCTCAAATCCCGTGAGGGCAATGTCAAGGTCAGCCGGGAGCTCTCGGCTCACACAGGTGAGGCAGGCTCTCTTCCATCCGGTCCCTGGAGGGGTCCCGGGAGGCTCAGGAAGTGGCAGGTTGTGGCTCTGCAGCCAGGGCACTTTTCTACCCCTCCCCCACCCCATCCCCCAGGTTATCTCTCCTGCTGTCGCTTCCTGGATGACAACAATATCGTGACCAGCTCAGGGGACACCACGTGGTGAGGACTGTGGGTGCCAGGGCTCAGACTTGGGAGGTGGTTCTGTCCTGGCCTTTGCTGTGACAGCCTCCGCTCCCTGCAGTGCCCTGTGGGATATCGAAACTGGGCAGCAGAAGACTGTGTTCGTGGGACACACAGGGGACTGCATGAGCCTGGCCGTATCTCCCGACTTCAAATTCTTCATTTCCGGGGCCTGTGACGCCAGCGCCAAGCTCTGGGATGTGCGGGAGGCAACTTGCTGCCAGACTTTCACTGGTCATGAGTCGGACATCAATGCCATCTGTGTGAGCCCCCCTGTGCCCCAAGCCCCTGGGACCACCTCGTCACCCCCTAACGCATCCTCATCCCTCCATGACACCCTACCCCTTTCTCTCTAACTCCCCACTTTGAATGCTTTTACCTTATGCAGAAGTTTCAAAATAACATAAAACTCCCCCATACCCTTCACCCACATTCACTGTTAACATTTTACCACATTTGCTAGACAGACAGGTAGGTGGGTAAGCAGGAAGGCGAGCAGGTGGGTGGGTGGGTGGATGGATAGATGGACGGATAGACAGATGGACGGACACACACACCTGGATGTTGCTATACCTTCCTTTAATTGGCATTTTCCCTTGATCTTTTGAAAATAAGTCACCGGCACATGGCTCTTTACCCCTTAAATACTTCTAGGTATGTTTTCTAAAAACAAGGCCACCATATAATTCTTAATCTCAGGAAATTTGACAGTGACGCAAAATTCCATGTGTTCTAGAGTATGTACATGGATTTATACGCCAGAGTCTGTATTCATTCTTCACCCGTCATTTCAAACACATCCTTCATAGCAAGATACAGTCTGGAAAGGTGAACTGCAGTTTCCTGCCAAATCTTTCTGGTTTCTCTCACGCTGGGACCATTTTCTGCCTTTCTTTGTCTTTGTGACTTTGACGTTTTGGAAGGGTACAAACCAATTTTCAGTCCTCTCCCTCCATTTGAGTTGTTCTAAAGCTTCTTCATGAGACTCAGGCGATGTGTTTGTACTTGGCCCTGTTTTCACACACTCTAACCTAGTCCTCTGTGTAGTCCGAGGAATCTGGGCCAGCCTTCACCCTCCTAACCATGTGACCCTGGCCCAGCTGCCTGTGCTCCCGCCTGCAGTATGGCAGTGAGGAGCGAGTGAAGGCAGGGCAGAAGGGAAGCCACCCGGCATGCGGTGGCTTGTGATAAATGTCAGTGGTGGCTGGTGATGTGGCAGCTGGAAGAGGAAGGGTAGGAGAGGCAGCAGGCTGCCCAGGCCTGAGTTCAGACGCTTTGCCTCTGTATCCCCAGTTCTTCCCCAACGGAGAGGCCATCTGCACAGGTTCAGATGACGCCACCTGCCGCCTCTTTGACCTGCGGGCCGACCAGGAGCTGACCACCTACGCCCACGAGAGCATCATCTGTGGCATCACATCCGTGGCTTTCTCCCTCAGCGGCCGCCTACTCTTCGCAGGTTACGATGACTTCAACTGTAACGTGTGGGACTCCATGAAAGGGGAGCGTGTAGGTAAGGGCCAACTTCCCCTGCCCCCCCATCCCCCCCACCAACTGCCACCTCAGCCAGAAGGATCCTCCACAGCTCCCCTGATTGGAACTCTCTTTCCCTGGGTAGCTCAACTCTACCTTTGAAATCCAGTCCCCTGGGGGCGCTTCTCTTAAAGAAAGGTCTGCTAAGTGGTGCTGCCCCTCTGCCCAATGCTATGGCTGCTCCCTGCCGAAGCAGCTCTTTCCGGTCATCCCCAGGCCCGTGGACCTAAGACATCCAATCAATTCTGGGTGCCTGAAGCATCAGGGGCATCCACTGGAGAGATAGGCTATCTCAGGGAACTATGCAATGAGCAGAATCATTAGATTCTAGTGATGTGAGGGCCCTGCCCCCAACCTCAGGGCTTATCCTGGACCAGCCTGGTGTGAGGTTGAATCAGATAGTGTGGCTTCTTCCTTGGGAGAGGCCAGAGTGAGTCAGGATCCAAATCTGAATTCTGTTGCTTAGTTTCAGAGTGCCCTTGGGCAGGTCACTTTTCTCTGGGCCTCAGTTTCTTCATTTGGGAACGAGGGGAGAGGATCCAAAGGTTACCTTCCCTGCTTTCCAGTCCCACCAAGGTGCCCTTGCTTTCCTCACAGCATATCAATACCTCCCTCCTGTCTGCAGCCCTCCTGCTCTTGCCCTCTCAGATATTAGACAGAAACCCTCCCCTTGGAGCTAATCCTCTTTCAGTCTCCACCAGACACTGAGTAGTGTCATGTGGGCCGGGCTGGGCCCACACATACACACTCCCCTCAAAATCCGCACAGGGAGATGGCCTGACTCCTTTCCCTTTTCCTAGGCGTCCTCTCTGGCCATGACAACAGGATCAGCTGCCTGGGGGTCACACCTGATGGGATGGCTGTGGCCACGGGTTCCTGGGACAGCTTCCTTAAAGTCTGGAACTGAGGAGACTGGAGGAAGTAAAAGGCCATGAAGACACTCCACTGCTCCCTCCCCTGCCCATTTTAAGGCTTTCTCTTCTCTACCCCAGCCACCATTGTCACGAAGCTTTCTCCTTTCAGGGTAGTGGGAGTGTGGGGAGTGTGCCTTTGGGAGGCAGCATTCAGGACACAGAGGCAGAGAACTGTCTCCTCTCCTTCCAAGGCCTCTCCTCTCCATGGTCCTGATGTCTCCCTTTAATGAGCAAGGATGAGCGACCCCTCCCCACCCCTTGGCAGGTCTAGTAGGCTTCCATCTGAGGTTCAGGCCCTAGGATTCCCCACCCAAAGCCACCACTCGTCCAGACCTGGGTGGCACAGGGTGCTTGGCCCCATGACTATGGCTTGGATACCACAAAGGTCCTGGCCCCCTTCTCCTTCATGCTTTCTCCTTTTCTACCTTCTTTTTTCTCTTCTAAAACACCTGCAATAAAATGTAGCACCCTGGTATACCTGTGCTGTTTGGCTTCCACCCCACTTCTGTTCCCAAAGGACACGGGTCTCACTTAAGTAAAAATTTATTATAGATGTGATGATAAAGGCTGGGTATCAGCCGATTGTGGGCAGAAAGGAGGATCAAGGCAGAAGCCCCAGCCTCCCACAAGGAAGGCTTGAGAAGGGAGGTGTTCACCAGGCTGCTGGAAGGGTGTGCGCATTACAGTAGTCACTGTAGCTGCTGCAGGTATATGTGTGCTTGTGCAGGAGGGTTCTGTGGCACAGGAGTCAGATGGTAAAAGGCCTTGAATGCCTGAAAGTCTACAGAATGGCTAGAGTCTAGACTTTATCCTAGGGGCAATGAGGAGGCACTGAAGAGCTTGTAGCAGAGCAGTAACACAGCCAGTTGTTTCTCAGAAAGGTTACGCTAGCAGCAGTGTAGGTCGATAAGTGGGGGGAGAGGAGTCTGAGGCAGGTGGCAAGAAATGCAAGAGTGATAGGACAGAGGGATAAGGGGAGGGAAAAAATGAAAGAGTCGTGAGGATTTAGTGACCAAGTACCAGGGTACGGGATAGGGAAAGGAAAAGGTTCAAGATGATAGCCAAGGTTCGGGTTTGGGCAACTGGGTGGATAATACTGCATTCACTAGGATAGGGAATGGAGGGTGAGGAATAGCTTTTGGGGTGCATCATAAATTCAACTTTAGACAGACTAACTTCTAGGCTTTGGGGCAGCTGTATAAAGGTCAGCTGTGTGCCTGTATAAAGGCACACCTGGAAATTACCAGGTGTGGTAAGAATATGGGTTAAGTGATAGCTAAGGCCCTAGAGGCAAACATTTAGGGAGAACAAGAGGAAAGAGCCACAGACAGAGCTCTGCATAAGACCAGGATTTAGGGAGGTGATGAAGAGGCGCGGTGGTGAGTGGACGTGGGCTCAGGCCAGGGAATACAAGCTCCCCAGTGCGAGGGTCAGATGTTACACTTTGAAAAAAAAAAAAAATCATTTGAAATTATTTCCTTTAATACACACAAGAAACACGTAAGACACAAAAAAAGCTCAATAAAACTCTCATAGTTGGTAGTTGAGGGGGAGTTGAAGAAATCGAGCTTTTCCAGTCTCCCAGGGAAAGAAGGGCTGAGAGGGCAGCAAATATCTCTAGGCTCAGTGGCAGCCCCCGGGGCTAGTTCTCCACCACAGGGAAGTGCTGATTTTCCTTGTCATGTTCCTGTCTTTGCTCCCACGCTCGTCCTCCCGTTTTCGGACGTCCTATTCCCAAAAAAGTCCCTTCCTTTAGATCTCGAACATTTTCACTCAGGGGTGAAGGCCGTTTACCCTGCAAAAGGCAGCGTTTGAGGGAGGGAAGGAAGGGAGGTTGTTCCCAAGGAAGATCCCAGTCAAAGGACCTCCCACCCTCTGTGCTGGATTTCCTAGTGATAGCTTTCACCCTCTCCCTTTACCTGTCGTGACGTCAGGGTTCCGGGGGAGTTGTCATCCTGCAGGATGCTGAGGGGAGATCTCCCCAGTACCTTGCCTTTTGGTTTCCGTCTACCGTACTTAGAACCTAGAATGAATAAGGACCACAATTAGGGGCTTATTGTTTATCTTCTTACAGCTGAGGTCATTATCCCAGAACATCACCCCAATATCTCTTCCCTATATCTTGCCGTCAGTTCTATACCTGAAGATCTGGGTGTCTCAGGTTCTCTGAAGGACTTATCTGAGCCCTGGTTGGCCACTGAGGTATCTGTGGGCAGTCCTGTTTCCTCCTTGCCTTCCTGCTTGGAGGGCTCAGTCTCGCTCCAAGGTGACATCTGGTTCTCAAGGGAAAACTGGTTGCCCAGAGGCAAGTCCAATCCAGAAGATGTAGGTGTCTCCATGGGCACAGCAGGTTCTACGGTAGGGTTAAATTTGGAGGCTCCATTCTCAAATACTTCACTCAGCTGTTTCATCAGTGGGTTTGGGGGCTCTAGAGGGAAGAAGTGAAACGAGACAGTGACCTTCTGATACAAGTTATTCAATGAGGAGGAAACATACCCAGCAGCCTTAGGATTCATGCCCAGGTGGGTGAGGGGTTGGGGGAGAAATCAAGATAAGAGGGAGCAAAATATTGAGAAGAGAATGAGATGGGTCTGGAGCAGAAGGATGGAGGCTCCTCTAAGAAGGCGCCCTGAGAAGATGGTTTTATTGGCCCCACCCAAGAATACTAGGTGACAGCTTATCAAAATTCCCTGGGCTCAGCACTCACCACCGCTGCTGGTCTTCATAGGTGTACGTGCAATGCCAAGGGTAGGAGAGCGGGGATCAGAATCCAGGGCCTGATTTGGATTCTCCAGTTGCTCCTCTACGCGGGGATTTGGCTGTGGAGAGCTCTCCACCTGTCAGGACCAAAGGCTAGAACAATTCTGAGCTCTGACTCTTCCCCCAGGTCTCTCACCTCAGGCTGATGATATTCGGGGCAGCAACCGTCACGGCCCTCAGACTTTCAGCCTACCCCGCCCGGATTGAGAAGGTAGAAATAGGGCCTCAACTGAACGTGGGGGCTGGGGGCGGGGCGGGGCGGAAGACGTGAGACCGTCTCAGAATCAAGTTAGGCAGAGGCCAGGAATTCAGCTTCTCGCCCTCTCCCCCCACCCGCTCCCGCCCCCGAGTACCTGGATGGGAGTGCGCAGGATGCCGGCGCTGGGTGAACGCGGGTCAGCTACTCGGGCCAGATGCTTGTTGCGCAGCGGAGGCCCCACTGGAGTGACTGGGACGCTCTTGGCTGAGCCCATCTCAATAAGGAAGAACAGGGCGAGGCAGAGCCCGGCCCCGGCGCGGAGGGGATGCCTGCGAGAAGCGACTCGGGTGTCAGTCCTCACCGGGACCCGGACTGCAGACCCCCCATCATCCCAGTTCCCGGCTAAGCAGCCTCCGGACCGCTGGGCTGGAGGCCGCTGCGGGGAGAGCGACGGAGGCAGTTGACAGGGGCCTCCTTCGGGCCGCTCGGGCCCTCGAACTTCCTCGGCCAACCAATACTCTAACCACTTACCCGGCCCCAACTCCAAGCTGTGGGGGCACACAGCTCGAGCTGAGCGCCCCAAACGGCGTTTCAAACCTCCCGCCACGCCCCCTGCCTCGATCCCATTGGCCGAGTCGACCAGGCCTCCATAGGCCCGCCAGCCGAGGCCCGCCTCAGGGAGGAAGCCATTGGGCTGGGCGGACGCCCATCATGGCGGCCGTGGGGCCAATGGGCCGCGGCTGGGCCTGCCAGGATGACGCCTCCTCATAGGGCGGCTTTTGCTCCGTCTCCGGCTGAGAGCCGCCCGCCTGATTGAGCGCTTCAGTGTCAAAACCAAATGATTTGACTTAAAAACCAGTCGTGAATTATTACGCTCACAAGCGTAGCTCCAGCCGGAGACGGAGGGGAGGCTTTCGCCCAGGCCGGGCCGTCAGTCAGCCTTATTGGTCGACGGAGTTAGCAGTCACTCGACACTAACCCTCTCCAGCTCGGCCTCATTGGATAAACCTTTTCAAACACCAGGAATACAGCTGCCCTTCTACTTTCCGATTGGACGAGTCCTCGGGAAAGTTTCTGAGACTGATTGGTTTAAGCAACCGTCAGTTTCTGCTTTTCAATGGAAGGCACGCGAAGGGCGCGGAGGGGCTCCCGCAGCCCGAGCAGCCGAAACCCCCGGGCCCGCCTCGCCGCTCTACAAGCACTCAGCCCTGGAGTTGTGGGATTGGTTCTCCCGGCCATCGATTGCCTTAGAGGCGCTTTTCATTGGCGTTGGGCGGAGCAGGGCAGAGGGCGGAGCGCTCGTCGGCAGGCTGGGTCCAACTGCCATTCTCGCGCGTCTTCCCTTTAGCGCATGCACCTAACGAGTAGCGCTCATTGGACGGCCAGAGTAGGGGGTGGGGGACTAGGAACGGTGGGAGCCGCTGTGTGTGGAGGAGCAGCTGCCGGTGTCATGGCGGAGCTGAGTGAGGAGGCGCTGCTGTCAGTATTACCGACAATCCGGGTCCCTAAAGCTGGAGACCGGGTCCATAAAGACGAGTGCGCCTTCTCCTTCGACACACCGGTAAGCCCCTTCCCCACGCCCGCAGCGAGCACGACTTGCTTCCATCGCCCTGGTCATTCTGCCGGGGCCTGCAAGGCTTGGGCTACCGCCTCCGTGCGATGCATCATGGGACTTGTAGTCTTCCACATTACTCGCTGCCGTTGCTTTTAATTAGCCGAAGCTGGCATGTGACTACCGCCCCCGGAAGCCATCGCGTCCGCCTCGCCGGCCCTGGGTCTCGTGGAGGATTGTGGGGATTGTAGTCGCTCACTTTCTTCATTGCCGTTCTAAACTAGAGGCGCAACACGACCGTCGGACTACATTCCCCAGGCGGCCCCTGCGAAACCTTGGGGGTTGGCCTTGCCTGTCGCGCGTGGCTCTCCGGGTTTTGTAGTCTTGTGTGGCAGGGATGGAGGCGACCCCCCCCCCCACTGTTCTGGGCCGGGTTTGGGTTTGGAGGGTGGGAATTGCAGTTCCTAGGCGCCTAGTGGTCTGGAAGTGGCCGTCAAGAAGGCTGGTTCTGAGAAAGACCGAGTTGGAGAGCCTCCACCCAAGGCTCATGTGGACAGGGGGCGGGGAGGTGGGTGATAGGGAGGGGAGGAAGAGGAGAGGAAAGCTCTAATCGTTTCTCCTTTGAGGTGAACTGTGGCCGCAGCCCCCTCTCTTTCTGCCACTTATCACAGTGAGCAGAGGAAACCCTTTTTAAAGTATTTCCAGAGAGATGGTTTCTTTCTTGGAAGATATTAAGGCCCCTTTTCCATCCAGCTCCCACTCTTGACTAGTTAGACAAAGCCACCACCCACACCGTGCTTCACGTTTTGCAGGCGCCACCCGGTACCACCCTTCCTGCAGTTCTGCCTTCCTGGGTCACCCTCAAGCAGAGACAAGCCTCCAACCAGGCCAGAGCCTGAACTGAGAGGGCAGTAGCCTGCTTTGGGACCCGCCCCCTGCCCCCCCCCCCACCAGCACTCCTCCCCTCCAGCCGCTACTGGGCCCTGCCCTGGGTGTTTAGCCAGACCAGCTCATGGCCTGGAAAACTGCAAGTCAGAGTGGAAAAGGCTTGGTTCATGCATCACCAGTGCTGAGGATAGCAGCATGATCTAAGGCCCAGTTCATCACTGTGATTTGTGGTTTACTCGGGGTGCTGGGCTTTGACCTGCGCCTCAGACAGTGTGCTATTTCTCTGAAGTCTGGCTTCGGCAGAGTGAAAAGAGGACTGTTCAGAGCAGGGCTCCTGGGCAAAACTAGCAGCTTTTATTTCCTACCCAGCTCCCCCATGCCTCCCAGTTCACTGCATCGCTTGGCGAAGCACCTTCTTTCTCAGGTGGTACCAACAAATATAGAAGTCAGCAGGTCTGTTTTACACTCCTCTCTCCTTAGCAACCACTTGGAATAATCCAAAAGAAATGTTTGTAATCTTACTGCACTCTCCTTCTCTCACCCCAAGGCAAGAGATCTAGTGGCTTTGCTGACCAACTTTTGGCATATCTGATTATCTTCAAATTGGATTCATGGTTGAAAGAGAGCTTATTTGACTTCCCTGGTGAGAAATGCTCCACTTGTTCATGAACCTTGTAATCCACATTGTTGTGGGAATTGGTGCAGAGCAATCTATGGGACCAAGAACTGCCTCAGATGGTACCCTATTTTAAACATCACAGTGGAGAAATTTTCAAGACCTCTGGGACCTTTATTTCAGGAAGATGCCTGTTGTCGCTCATAACCATAGCGCTGAAAGGAAGCCTCTGTTATTTCCTTTTCTGTCTTCTCCCTCACTGTTCACACTGGTAGATTTGCTCAGTTTGGAGGAAGTCCATCCTCCCTTTTCGGCCATGATTTAGGGTAGACTCTTGTCTTTTCCCCATTTTATTTTCCTGGATTATTTGTGTTCCAGCTATTTCAGCTAGATTATTCCAGGAAATGAGTGGCTTTGAACTTGGAGGTTGATGGGTCTGCAGTGGGGATTATAGTTCCTGGTCAGAGGGGAGGCAGCAGGGTAGTGGCTGCAGAATGCGTCTCGTGTCTGTCAGACTGGGTCCAGGTTTAACTGTGAGCGCCACACAAGGCAGTGTTCCCTGAAGCCAGGCTCCAGCAGGAGAGGAGGGAGAAGACTCAGGGTGCACCAGTGTCTACTATCTCCCAGAGGATGCCAAAGGAAGGGTCTGGACTGGCTGGCAAGCGCAGGGGTTGGCTGTGCTTCTCAGGTGCTGGAGTCTCTTCTCCTCTGGTCTGGAAAGTTTTCTGAATCCTGGAGATCAGGTGGGGCTTGGCAGGGTCTCCTGGTTCAGGTCCAGTGTTTGACATGCAGATCTTTCCTTTCCCAGCAAAGGACCCTTTTCCCTTCTGCGTGCACTCTTGGGCACAGAAAGTCTATGGTACTTTGGTTCCCATTTACTTTCTGTATATCTTGGCTCTGGAAAACAGGTAAAGGGAGTTCTCTGTGACTGGTTAGAGGCCCAGCCCAAAGAAGGAACATGAATGGTGACCCATAGGTGTTGCTCAGCATCCTGGCGTCCTTGCTGATTTGATTGTTATCAAAGTCTTATTTGGAAAGGAAGAGGCTGAGCCTCATTTCAGGCCCTAAAAGGCTAAATAACTTGCCAGGAACCTCACAGTGACTTTCTTCTGGAAGCCAACAGTTTCTGACCCCAGGGCTTGCTTTCATCCTCTGTTTCCTCCCTTGCCTCTTGTCCTGCAGGAGTCTGAGGGTGGCCTCTACATCTGCATGAACACATTCCTGGGCTTCGGGAAACAGTATGTGGAGAGACATTTCAACAAGACGGGCCAGCGAGTCTACCTGCACCTGCGGCGGACCCGACGCCCGGTAGGGACAGGCGAGGCAAGGCCTGGGGATATGCAGATACACCCCACTGAGTGCCCCTTCAGATTCTCTGTTCCATTCTGGCCTCCTGTAAGCCTTAGTCTCCCCCTTTCACCTGTTTCTATTGGTGCCATTAAAACTCAGCACAGGTATTTTTTAGCTCCATTCTCTTTTGAAATTAACTCACTCCGTGCCCCCCCATCCTCCCCATCTGTCATCTCCTTGGTGCTCACTGCTGATCCTGCCCTTCCTGCCTCATTGCAGAAAGAGGACACCACTATAGGCACCGGAGACCCGCCCCGGAAGAAGCCCACCCGGCTGGCTATCGGTGAGCACCAGCCCAGCCCTGTTCTCCTCCTGAGCTGGTCTTCCTGTTCTTGGGAGTGCTAGGAAAGCAGCTAGAGCCTGATCCTGCCCTATGGCCCCAGTGCTCTGCAGGGAACAGGTGAAGTGTCGTGTCAGAGGAGGGACATTACCTGTGGCAGTTTCCTATTTTCCCTCTTCTCTGTTTCACCAGGTGTTGAAGGTGGTTTTGACCTCAGTGAGGAGAAGTTTGAATATGATGAGGATGTGAAGATTGTCATTTTGCCAGATTACCTGGAGATTGCCCGGGATGGGTTGGGAGGACTGCCTGACCTTGTCCGAGATCGGGTATGACTACCTTTCGGCCCAACCACAGACTCCAGGGCAGACAGGGCCAGAGCAGTGACGTCCTGAGCCAGCACTGAGAGAGCTGAAAACGGAGGGGATAGAGGGCAGGTGGTGCCGGAGGTTAGATGCTGTCTCTGACCCTCTGCTTCCCCCAGGTGACCAGTGCGGTGGAGGCCCTACTGTCCGCCGACTCAGCGTCCCGCAAGCAGGAGGTGCAGGCCTGGGATGGGGAAGTACGGCAGGTGTCTAAGCATGCCTTCAACCTCAAGCAGCTGGACAACCCTGCTCGAATCCCTCCCTGGTGAGGCCTCGCCCTTCCACCTTGGGGTAGAAACCCCAGAGCAGGGGCAAAGAGGCCCTAACTGGGGTATCTAATGAGAGAGAGGGTCAGGGTCGGGAGCAAGACAAGGAGGGAGATTTGGGGGAGATGAACAAAGCAGGGGGATGTCCAGAAGAAAGGAGAAGAAAGCACTCTTGACTAACTGGGGGCCTCCAGAACCCCATCTCTACCACTCCCATCCCCTGAACCCCTCTTCCACTCATTTCCTTCCCTCTGGGATAGTGGCTGGAAGTGCTCCAAGTGTGACATGAGAGAAAACCTGTGGCTCAACCTGACAGATGGCTCCATCCTCTGTGGCCGACGCTACTTTGATGGCAGTGGGGGCAACAACCACGCCGTGGAGCACTACAGGGAGATGGGCTACCCGCTGGCCGTCAAGCTGGGCACCATCACACCTGATGGAGCTGGTACATCCCTCCCCGCCGCTGACGTGTTTGTGCTGTTACTTGCTTAGTAGGATACAAATAACGCATGAATACATCCTCTTGTTAGCAGTGAGGCTAAAACTTCAATTGATCCCCGCAGTTCCAGTCCCCTTCCTAGAAGTTACCATCACTATCTGTTTAGTGAGCACCTTTCCAAATCCATCATACCTTTGTACCTTCTCTACTGGGGTAGAGTGGCAATTCCAGCCCTCAGCCTGTTTCACCATCTTCCCTGACAGCCAATCCCAGGAGGCAGCCCCACCAGGACCCCTGAGGGCAGGGGATGGGTTGGTGGCCAGGCCACTCCTAACCCCCTCTGATGCCACTCCTACCCCTGTCCTAGATGTGTACTCATATGATGAGGATGACATGGTCCTGGACCCCAACCTGGCCGAGCATCTGTCCCATTTTGGCATCGACATGCTGAAGATGCAGAAGGTGAGACCCCTCCAACTTCAGATTCTTTTCCTTCCTGTCCCTGTGAGTGAAAAGACCCCTTGTCCTTTTCTGAGGCTCAGGGAGCATTTTGGAGTGAGCTCCCACAACTAACCCAACCCCCAAGATAAGTGGGCTTGCTTTGGAAAGCTTTCTAAAGTCATTTATTCCTTCACTGAGTACTACAGAGTACCTACTAAGGGTCAGCCGCTCTGTGAATGAGACCGGCATGGCCCTTACTTTCACAGACTTCAATTCTAGATGGAAAGGCAGATGCTGACTTAAGAAAGTGAATAACTTTGTGATACGATGGGTGATATCAAAGAGATGAGGTTTTCCACAGGGGTTACAGCTGGGTCCCCGACCCAGTCTAGGGAGTCGGGGAAGCTTCTGTGAGGAAGTGAGGCTTGCATAGAGATGTGAGGGATGAGGCGGGGTCACTTCAGGATGGAGAAAAAAACCTGCAGGTAGAAGGAATGGCATTCATTTCCTTCTTGGTTCAGGTGGAGGCTGGTAACTAAAGGCTTCTGGGGCCATTGCTCATGTCTCCGGAACTTGGACTGGGTGCTCTCCAACACGCCTCCCATGGGAGAGCCCAGGACTCGTCAAATTCTAGGTTCCAGGAGGTGTCGTCCTAGAGAGATCCTTGTACAGAATACAACAACAAGTCTCACCCTTCTGACCTGCCCCTCCCCCTGCAGACAGACAAGACCATGACTGAGTTGGAGATAGACATGAACCAGCGGATTGGCGAATGGGAGCTGATCCAGGAGTCAAGTGTGCCCCTGAAGCCCTTGTTCGGGCCTGGCTACACCGGCATCCGGAACCTGGGTAACAGCTGCTACCTCAACTCCGTGGTCCAGGTGCTGTTCAGCATCCCTGACTTTCAGAGGAAGTGAGTGGTGCCTTCTCCCCCGCATTGGCCCCTTGGGCCTGCACCCCTCATATCCCAGCTCCTCCAGGCTGCTAGCTCTAGCTCTTCAGCATCCTTAGTGCCTCTGCCTTCTGTCTCAGTCTTAAGAGTAGTTCCTGCTATCCTGTGGCTGGTGTGCTATGAGGGGAGCAAGTTAGAACTGTACCCCATTACCCAGTCACATACAAGCCCCACTGATTGAGCAGGACACCAAATCCCAGGGCTTTCCCTGGTGGCCTGATGACTCGGGTGAGCAGGTGGTCTTTATTTTAGGCTAATGACATCAGATGGACATCTAACTTGGACATGTAGCAGGGGTGGGGGCTTGGGGACTTTCAGCGAGAAGAAAGGTAGGTTCTCAGCATAAGGAGTTTACCGTCTCATTGGGAAGGACGTGATATGTATGTGGAAACTTAGACAAGTTCTGCTCAATAGAGTATGACTGTATCCTTCCCCAGGCTACATTCCTCTGCCTCTGGGCTCTCAGGAAGAGGGCCAGGACAGAGTATCTGGGGACCCTGCATGCTGCCTGAATTGAGAAAGGGAGGATGGGCTGGTTTCTGGAAGGAAATAGACCCCAGGGTTCCACCACATTTAACTTCCCACTCTGGAGGGAGTGTAAGCACCGAGCTAGGAGAGAATTGCTCCCTTCCCTTTTCCCAGGCCAAAGCCCCTGCAATTACCCTTCCTTTAGGTATGTGGATAAGCTGGAGAAGATCTTCCAGAATGCCCCGACGGACCCTACCCAGGACTTCAGCACCCAAGTGTACGTAGCCAGGTCCTGTGTACAAGGACCATTGAGAGACTCGCAGCCTATGTGCTTTCTGTTCTTCTACATTGCTGCCTGGAAGGGGCAGCTGTTGCGCCCCTGGCATTTGAAGCTTTCAGATGGTTGCCCTCTGGGCATGCTGTCTGCCTAGAGTTTGGTTCCTTTGGAACCTAAAGTTTTCGTATTTTAGAGAGTTGTTGAGGAGGGCCATGAGCAGGGGTTGAGTCGGGAAGAACAAGTAGAGAGAGCTGGCAGACAATCATTTGTTGATTAAAGCCCAATGGGTCTCTTGGATGTTAATGCAGGGCCAAACTGGGCCATGGCCTTCTCTCAGGAGAGTATTCCAAGCCAGCCCCAGAGTCAGGCGATGGGGAGCAGGTGCCAGAACAGAAGGTGAGTCTGGGACTCTGTCCCTTGGGGCTCTGGAGTTTTCCTGGGAAACTGAGTCTGGGGGATGGCTCAGGAAGGCTACCTGGTAGCCTCTTGGACCCTAGCTGAGTTTGCTGCCCTGGCTCTGCCTAGGAAGTTCAAGATGGCATTGCCCCTCGGATGTTCAAGGCCCTCATCGGCAAGGGCCACCCCGAGTTCTCCACCAACCGGCAGCAGGATGCCCAGGAGTTCTTCCTTCACCTCATCAACATGGTGGAGGTAAGGCTGGGAAGATGGCAAGGGGTTCCCCTCTCACACTCCTTCCATCCACCTTCTTTTGAGTCCCTCCTTCCTCCTATCCATTTTTTATGATCCTTAAACGAGCCCCGCCCCTGTAAGCTGACGGTCCCCACGTACCATGTACCCAGCCATCCCTGTGTGTAGCACCTGCCTCTGAGGGGAGCAGTAAGGCCCAGTACTGATCCTTCTACTTGACGGCTTGCAGCCTCACGGAGGATGCACCCACAGAACATGACATGAGTAGCCTTACTGCTTGTAAAGAAAAATACACAACTTGCCACCATGTCCCTACAGTGTGGTGATGGGGCCAGAACTGGGGAGGGGAAGTGATTAATTAGGGATGGCTTCTGCTCACATCCCATGCCTCTTAGTGGTAAGTCTCCTTCTACTCCCTTCTCCCTGACCCCCCAGTGACCCTTTCAGGCCCCCATTCCGTTCCCTGGCTGCCCAGATCACCCCACCTGCCTCTGTTCCATAGAGGAATTGCCGGAGCTCTGAAAACCCCAATGAAGTGTTCCGCTTCCTGGTGGAGGAAAAGATCAAGTGCCTGGCCACAGAGAAGGTGAAGTACACCCAGCGAGTGGACTACATCATGCAGCTGCCAGTGCCCATGGATGCGGCCCTTAACAAAGGTAGCTGCTCTTGGCAAGGCCTGGTTGTGCACAGCGTCTGAAGTCTATGAGAGACTACCACGCAGCCTGCTCCCCCGCCCCAGAGCTCGGAAGTGGGGCCATCAGGGTAGGCAGGAGTAACCTAGCCCACAGCTTAGAACTGCTCTGGGAGACAGGCCAGATCCTATACGGATGTGTGTTGGGTGGGTTGGAGGCGGGTACAGGAACTGACATAGTCAGACGAAGAGCCAGGAGTGGGAGGCTAAGGCAGTTCCTCTGAAGGATCCACCCACCAATTCTGCCCCCAGAGGAGCTTCTGGAATATGAGGAGAAGAAGCGGCAGGCTGAGGAGGAGAAGCTGCCACTGCCAGAACTGGTTCGGGCCCAGGTGCCCTTCAGCTCCTGCCTGGAGGCCTATGGGGCCCCTGAGCAGGTGGATGACTTCTGGAGCACGGCCCTGCAGGCCAAATCAGTAGCTGTCAAGTAAGTCTTATTGGTAATCCCAAAGATACCTCTGCCACCTCCTCACTCCCTAGTTCCTTTGTGGCTGAATCTTAGGCTTACATCAATTGGGGCTGGTGATCTGGCCCCGAGGGAACCCGGGGCAGTAGTGGGGGTCACTTGGATGATTACTCTCCGTTACCTTGTCCTGCCCCTGCTGCTCCCTCCTCTCTCCCTGCCCAGGATTACTTTTAATGCAGCTTCTCGTCACTCCCTTAGTTCCGGCAGAGCACAAGTGTCAGTGAAGGACAGATTGGGGTCTCTAGCAAATGGCCTTACTCAGTGGTCGTCACAGGCCTGAGGTCTGAAGGAGTGCTTTGGTCCCAGGGGTTTCAGCCCTCCGCCCCTTTACCTCTCCCACTCATAAGACAGCCCTCCTGCCTTCATTGTTGCTCCCTGTCTGCAGATGCTCGGAAGCCTGCCCAGGGCCAGATATAAATGTGGAGCATCTTTTGGGCTCTGAGGTCTTCTGCCCCTGAGGCTGAGCTGCAGGGCGAGGGTTTCTGGGTACCAGGATATTCTCTCTTCCCCTAGGACCACACGATTTGCCTCATTCCCCGACTACCTGGTCATCCAGATCAAGAAGTTCACCTTCGGCTTAGACTGGGTGCCCAAGAAACTGGGTATGGTGGCTGGGATGAGCGAGGGGGGTGAAACAGAAAATGCCAGAACACAAAGGGCCTTGACACATGTAAACTAGTGTTTCTCAAAGTTGCCTCTGAAGAGGGAAAAGTTACATTAGATGTTTCAAAATGCACCTTGTTGAAAAAGCACTAGGAATATAAAAGCCCTCTTTCATGGTATAGATAACGATTTACAACATTCCCCGTTTCATTTTTATAACTGGTAAGTGCTTCCATTTTGGTGATCTCGAGACTTCTCAGGAGGCTTCAGGAATGTGAGACCTGCTGGTTTAACCCCATTCCCCACAGTTTAAGCTCATTCTGTTGCACACGCTGGAGCCATGGCTCAGTGGTGGTGGGTAGAGGATCTGTCTCCTGGCTTGCAGGCCCACAGTTACTTTTATTACACGGGATCCTGAGAGTCCCAGAGTGGGGCGGGATTGAGACATGGGGCAAGGCCTGGGGAGCTGTTGAGGTGACCCTTTGCCTGCCATTCCAATTTCAGATGTGTCCATTGAGATGCCAGAGGAGCTAGACATCTCCCAGTTGAGGGGTGCAGGGCTGCAGCCTGGAGAGGAGGAGCTGCCCGACATTGCCCCACCCCTGGTCACTCCGGATGAGCCCAAAGGTAGCCTTGGTTTCTATGGCAACGAAGACGAAGACTCCTTCTGCTCCCCTCACTTCTCCTCTCCGACATGTTAGTGACTCTTCTTCCTGCCTGTCTCTTTTCCTTGCTAGTGGGGGTCTTCCCTGCCTGCCTCCCCTGACCCTGTCCTTTGTGTTTCTCCTGTCCTCCCTTTCAAATCTCCTCTGCCCTCTTGATGGGTGGGGATCACCCAGTGCACTGAAGCCAGATTCTCTGCGTAAATGGCAGTAGCACTGGCAGTTGCCTGTCCACCCTGTTCCCTCATTGGTCGGAGTCAGTGTGTCATACTCCAGAAATGGTGCTCATTTTGTGACGGTGGGAAAGGGCGGGGATCCTGGGGGATCTTCACCTTGATTCTTTATCTTCAGGATCCTGGACCCACGTTGTGTTGTGTTGTCGTCTTAGTTCTGGGAGAAGGTGTCAGGCAGCCCAAGAGAAGTGCATGGAGGGGGAGGGGGTTTGGGTGGGGTTGACCGGTTGGCCTGTGGGCTGGAGAAAAAGCCAACCCAGGACCACCCTTCTCCCCCCACAGCACCCATGTTGGATGAATCTGTCATCATCCAGCTAGTGGAGATGGGCTTCCCCATGGATGCCTGCCGCAAGGCCGTCTACTACACGGGCAACAGTGGCGCTGAGGCTGCCATGAACTGGGTCATGTCACACATGGACGATCCAGGTAGGCCAAGTGGAGAGCGGGGCGGGACCCCCCTCATCTCCCAAACACTTCAACTCCTCCATATCTGCAGATTTTGCCAACCCCCTCATCCTGCCCGGCTCCAGCGGGCCTGGCTCCACGAGTGCAGCGGCTGACCCACCTCCAGAAGACTGCGTGACCACCATCGTCTCCATGGGCTTCTCCCGGGACCAGGCTCTGAAAGCACTGCGAGCCACGGTAGGGGCCGACCCCTCCAAGGATGAGGGTCGTTGGGAAGAAAGGGGTGGGAGTAAGGTCCATCCGTTGTGAGCAAGACCAGAGACCACCAGCGTGGTATGGCCTCGCCTGTAACTCCACCCTTTTGTGGCCATGATGAAGGAGCTGAGGCTCTCACAGGTGCTTTTCTTGCCCCTGAACCTGTTAGAAAAAATAGCTCCTCCCCCTTCTCCAAGAACAATAGTCTAGAACGGGCTGTGGACTGGATCTTCAGCCACATTGATGACCTGGATGCAGAAGCTGCTATGGACATCTCGGAGGGCCGCTCAGCTGCTGACTCCATCTCGGAGTCTGTGCCAGTGGGACCCAAAGTCCGGGATGGGCCTGGAAGTAAGTGTTCCCGGGCAACAGGAAGGACCTGGCAGAATCCAGGCAGCTACTGCAGATCCATATTCCAACACAGATTTGCTTCCCTGAGGGCTTGGAGGGTTGGGAGCTTCTAGCCACTAATGTGACTTCTGCAGTGGGATTCTGGGAAAGCCTTGGCTCCAATACATGCCACCCGGAACTCCTGTCCTGAGTTTGAGCCATTTGTACCCTTGGACTGTCGCCTGGGTTTCCTCATTGTCTTCTCTGCCCTCTGTCTCCCTCCCTCCCTAGAGTATCAGCTCTTTGCCTTCATTAGTCACATGGGCACTTCCACCATGTGTGGTCACTATGTCTGCCACATCAAGAAGGAAGGCAGGTGAGGGACTGGCGGTGTGCATTCTGAATGGGGAGTGGGGATGGGAATCCATGGGGGCATTCTGGAAGCCACTGGAATATTTGTGGGAGAAGGGAAAGGACTGCCTGGTTGGGGCGCAGCCATACCATAGCCCGAGAGCCTAACAGTAGGATGGACAAACTCCAGCCCAAGGCTGAATCCAGCTGTCTGCTTTTGTAGAGTTTTCCTGAACATAGCCACACTTACTCATTGTCTGTGGCTGTTTTCACAAGTCATGCGACTGTTTTCACACATCATCGCTGTCAGAGACCAGATGGCCAGCAAACCTGAAATATGTACCACTCAGTCCTTAGAGAGCTTGCTGAGCCCTGCCTGCCAGCATGGCAGGAGGGAGTTGTAGAGATACTAGAGACCAAGAAGGGAAAACAACCTTTGTTGGGTGGGGATGCTCTCTTCAAACAGGCTTTGGGAGTTTGGGGACCCAAGCCAGGGATGTTGGGAGCTTTTGAATCAGTGGGAGGGGTGTAGGGACTGGGTGAGAGACTAAGCTGCTGTGACTTGGAATGCCCTCTTGCTTCACCCTGATCTATCCCTTCCGGGCTTCCCCAGGTGGGTGATCTACAATGACCAGAAAGTGTGTGCCTCTGAGAAGCCGCCCAAGGACCTGGGCTACATCTACTTCTACCAGAGAGTGGCCAGCTAAAAGCCTGCCCTGGCCCTTACACTGAGGGCAGGGGACGGACCACCTGGCCTGAAGGATGGACTTCAGCCCCCCTGCTCTGTACCCTTTTTCTTTTTGTCCCCAGCAGCAGGGAAGAAGCTAGAGGCCATAGGAGAATGGCCAAGCAAAGCAGAGGAGCACCAGAAAGACTTTGGGGATAGAGCAGGAAGGGGCCGGAGGGGCCGGCTGCCTGTCTGTGAGGAGACTTTGTTGCTTTCCCCACCCTTGAACCCACAGTGCTCTGCTTCTCTGTCCTCCTGCCGGGCCCCTGGTGTGGAGGGGGGCTTATTTGTGTGTGCGTGTGGGTGTAGCTTTGTGCAACCTCTTCCACAGGAGGGACATTTGTGCCTCCCCTCCCCCTTTGTGTTTGCTCCCTGTGTGGTTGGGCATTGAGGGATTCGAGGGAATGGGGGACACCCCCCCCCCACCCTCCTGCCTCAGTCTTTCCCCACCTTGTCTTTTCCCTGTCTTTCTCTGGAAAATGCCAAAATACTACGATGTGAATAAAGGTACAGTGGCTAGCTGGTGTCTGGTACCTTGGGAGACACTTCTCCCTGGAACTTGCAGGAGGGGCAGGAAACGCTCAGGCCTACCCCCTCCATAGACAGTTCTCTGGGCGTCACCCCATGGGGCTCTGGGGACGTGAGTGTGAGATGAGCTGTGGTGGAAAGGAAAGCCACGGGGTGGCAGGGGGAGTGGAGGGGTTGGTGACAATGCAATGGAAAGATGGGAGTGACGAGCCCTTGCAGCAGGCAGACGAGAGGCCCAAGTGGGTATTTCCCAGCTGTCCTTCATGGCCTGGCCTCCAGGCCTGCCGTGTAGCTGGCCTTGGTCAGCTGGAGCCAAGTGTGGGATATCCCAGGGGTGGTGGGTGCTGCAGGTTTCTGGACCGTTTTCTTAGCTGCAGTCTCCATATCATCAGAGCCCTTTCCTCCACCTCTGACCCTTGTTATTTGCCCAGTAAAGGGCTAGACTTTCCCTGGGTGGGTCAAAGGTGTCTGTTCAGCAATCAGGGACACAGTGCCTGGGCTGGGGGAAGGGTTCTCGCTTCCAGCCTTGGAAAGGTGTCCCTCAGAGTGTCCCAGCCAGCACTTGGCTGAGGCCAAGGTATTCGAGTGGTCGGTGGGCCTGTTAGCTCCCTTAGGACCCTCCCTCTGGCCCCGGGTTTGGGGGGCGGGGGGGGGGGGGGGGGTGGGGGGGTGCTGTAGTCGTGAGGTGGGGGTTCTCTGCGCTCCCCGGCTAACAGTTCGCGCCGCCTCCCGAAGTCAGGCAACGGAGGCCGAAGTGATGGAGCCCCCGGGTGCCCCTAGAACGTTGCGGCAATAAAGGGGGTAACGTCAGAACCTTGCAACACCAGGCGGCGGGCGGGGCCCGGGGGCAGGGCTTCTGGGCGGGGGCCGGGCTAGCCATGGCGAAGGGCCGGGAGGAGGCGGAGTTCTGCCTGCGGGCGCTCTATATAAGCGGGCAGTGGCCGCGGCTGCGCGGTGATACTGACCTTCAGTTTGCCGGCTGCAGCGCCATGGCGCCCTCCAGGAAGTTCTTCGTTGGGGGGAATTGGAAGATGAACGGGAGGAAGAAGTGTCTGGGGGAGCTCATCTGTACCCTGAACGCGGCCAAGCTGCCGGCGGACATCGGTAAGCCCTCGCCGGGGAGGGGCGCGGGGGTCGGGGGAGACCGGGCGAGGCAGCGCCCTCTCCCGAGCTCTGAGCCAGTGGCCACGGGGACCCGTGTGCAGGGGTGTGGGGACGCCGGCTGGTGGGGGTCCGGGCATGGACCCCGCGGCCCCGGCCCCGGGGGTGTGTCGACGAGAAAGGCGGGGCCACATGAAATGGTGCCCTCGGACCGTAAGGCGGGAACGGACTCCTGGGCGAAAGGCGAGAAGGCGGCCCAGGGTGCAGGCTGGGTTGCGCCAGCCGGGAGCCCGGGCAGGAGCGGGCCTCGCCCCGGGGGCCGATCGGGAGAGGCTGGCTCGGCCGGCAGGGTGGGGGAGGAGGCCGAGCCTGCGCGCGGGCTCCCGGCTACCTGCCCCCGCGGCCGCGGCCTCCGTGCGCCGCTGCACGTAGCCGGAGACTCCTCCCCGCGCCTCGCCGGGCAGCAGAGGCCACCCGCCCGGCTGCCTTGGTCCCCCCAGCTACCCGCTGGGGGGAACTGAGCGGGTAGGGACTGAGCGGGTGCCACACAGGCTGGGCCTTTGGGGATCCAGGATGAACCCTCAGCCTGGAAACGGGAAGGCGTGAGGCCTCGATGAGCTAGGCAGTTCCCTGCCACCCACAGGCAGAATCCTGTCGTCAAGGAGTCCTTCCCCTCCCGCCCACCTCATCACACAACTGCCCACCTCATCACATGGGCCAGATCAAAATAGGAATCCCTTTCTGCTTTAGTCCCCAAAGACCCCCAACGCAACCCCTAGGAGTTGGCCATTCTGCACTTGCTAAAACCCCTCGCCTGCCTTTCCTGGGGGAAGTGGGGATTGGGCTATTTTAGAAGAGAGGCCGGGTTGGCCCCCAGAGAATGCTGAGTCTAGGAGGTGTCCAGGCCCAGAATAGCCCGGGAAATCGGAGCCACAGCTGTCAAAAGTGCAGAGGGCAGGGTGAGGACCATGGCTCCTGGACTTGGGTGCAGGCCCAGCTGGGGCTGGGAAATGGACACAGATTATCTTGCTGGGGAGAATGGGGAGGCATGCAGAACTCTGAGAGGGGATTAAAGCTAGGGGGCTCCAGAGTACAGGATGGAGTCTGAAGAATGTTCTCATTCCCTGTGCCACCATCTCCTCCTCAGAGGTGGTTTGTGCACCCCCCACTGCCTACATTGACTTCGCAAGGCAGAAGCTGGATTCCAAGATTGCTGTGGCTGCACAGAATTGCTACAAAGTGACTAACGGGGCCTTTACTGGGGAGATCAGGTGAGATGCAGGTGGGAGAGGTGTGGCAGGGAGAACCCTGCCCTCACTCCTTGCTGAGAGAAAAGCCACAGGTTGGACCCCAGGCTGAACCTTGGCTTTATCTCTTCCATTAGCCCTGGTATGATCAAAGACTGTGGAGCCACGTGGGTAGTCCTGGGACACTCGGAGAGAAGGCATGTCTTTGGGGAGTCAGATGAGGTTAGTAACCAGGGAAGGGAACAAGATGCCTTTTTCCAAGAGGGGTGTCTCACCGAATCTGTTCCTTAACAGCTGATTGGGCAGAAAGTGGCCCATGCCCTGGCAGAGGGACTGGGAGTAATCGCCTGCATTGGGGAGAAGCTAGATGAGAGGGAAGCTGGCATCACTGAGAAGGTCGTTTTCGAGCAAACCAAGGTCATCGCAGGTATGTTTGGAAAAACAGACCTTTGAACCTAGCCTGGACCAGAGAGGCCCAGAGGGTGGGGTCAGATGCCCTGCAGCCTAACTTGATCCCAGGCTGATACTGGAAAGGAGGAGGGTGAGTGAGGACCCTTGCATCCTCCTCTTCACTTCTGCTCCTGCCCCTGCTGGTATAGATGCCATTTGAGATTCCTTCAACAGCCACCGGGGGGCAGAAGACGGCCGTTCTTCATTCCCCTGGGGAAGGCTGGGTTGGCCTTCCTGTTCATCCCCCCTCTGTGATCTGTCTGGCAGATAATGTGAAGGACTGGAACAAGGTTGTCCTGGCCTATGAGCCTGTGTGGGCCATTGGGACCGGCAAGACTGCAACACCGCAACAGGTACTCAAGCCCAGCCGCCCTGATCTCCTACTCTGCTTGGTAGAACTGGGTAGCCACAAACACCGCCTGGGCCAACCCTTATTTTAAAGACAGGAGTCCCCAAGCCCAGAAAAGGAGAGTGACGTGACCAAAGACATCCATTCCAGGGCCTGGTATTTGGGCTCGGATCCCAGGGCACTTGCTTTTCTCTTCTGGTGCCAAGTTTTCCCACTCAGAGTGAAGGTAGAATCTTACTTAGTCTGGCTTCTTGTTTTAGGCCCAGGAAGTACATGAAAAGCTCCGGGGGTGGCTGAAGTCCAACATTTCGGATGCAGTGGCCCAAAGCACCCGCATCATATATGGAGGTGAGTTCATCTGGCTCCAGCCTGAGGGGAGCTGACTGAGAACTAGACTGAGCCTCAGGGATGGAGTGTACCATCCCATCCCTGACAATGCTTCTCTTACCTCCTTCCCCAGGTTCTGTGACTGGGGCAACCTGCAAGGAGCTGGCAAGCCAGCCCGATGTGGACGGCTTCCTCGTGGGTGGTGCCTCCCTCAAGCCCGAATTCGTGGATATCATCAACGCCAAACAATAAGCCCTGTCCATCTCCCCTGCCATTCCAGCAAGCCAGGGACTAGGTAGCACAGAAGCCAAACTGCCCCACCCACCCCCCTACAAGCTTCTGGTGGTGTTGCCTGCCCCCTCTTGTGGCCTAATCCAACTGTACCTTCCTTCACCCTTTACACCTTACCCTGGAAAGGTTGGGACCAGGACAGTTCCTTCTCCATTACGGTATTGGTTGGAACTAGAGGTCACCAACGTGGCTTCTCCTTGGCTGACAAGTGGAAGGGGTGGCGTTTACTCGCAGGTCCCTTCAGTCCCCAGTGAAGGCAGGAGAGAGAAGCCATACTCCTCTCCCATCTCACACCATGAGGCTATGGGCTGAGAGTTAACCCTGTCCTCCCCATGAGGCCAGGGTGCCACCCTCCCATGGTGCCAGCGCCTGTGTTGTGTTTGTCAGCAGCCCCGCGGGTGGGGGAAATAAACACCTGGCACTGAGCCTTGTGGTCTGTCCTTCACTGTACTTGCGCTTTAAACTCCCTTTTTCCTTTTTAAAGCAGCCACAGGACTCTTGTGCAAAAAAAAAAGTACCACAAACAGGTTTCTAGAACCACACATTCTTACTATTTTTACTTGAAAAAATGTCATTCGTATCAGACTGCCAGAGTCTTGCCAAACAGCTCCTTCCCCTCTTCCACCCCTCTGGGTGACTCTGGGGTTGTTGAGCTCCCCAGAGCTTGGGGTTGGGGGTAGGGGCTCAGCCTCGCCTCCCCCCACCTCACTGGTTTCAAGTAGCTGGTCTCTGCCAGCAGTGCCTCCTCCCCCCAGGGGAGGGGTGATGTCAGGTCCCCTGCACATCTGTGATTCACAAGGGTCACTGGTAGAGCAGGTAGCGCTTCATGGCGGGGGGCAAGGGTAGAGCAGAGACCTGGCCAAGCCGGGTGTCCCCCAGGGTACGGCGCACACACAAGCGGCTCAGGTGCAGAAGGGAGTGTGGCTCCGCTGGGAGAGAGAAGGAGGGAAAGTAAGTCGGGGTGTAGCCACCAGCCAAGAGACCCTCAAATTACCAACTCCTACCCAGATGCCCTGCTGCTTTCCTGCTTCCGGTCTGCTCCCACCTTGACTGAGAGGGACATTGAAGGTAACTACAAGTGGTACATCTGCTCTTGGGGGAAGGGATCACAGATGTCACACATCCCCATTCCTTTTCATCCCTGAGAGTGGATGGTGAGGTTCCAGCTATAGCCCCTGAGCTACAGGCCAGGGCAGCCCTGACAGTGGGAGCGGTGGGCCTTGGAGCAGAGGCAGTGAGGTGCTAGGAAGGCTGGCCCTCCTCTGCCCACTAATTGTTCCTCATGGGTGATAGGAACCTGTGCTGGAGCCTGCAACTGCAGAGAAGAGTGAAGTTCAATCAGCTCAGGCCCTGGCCCCATCAGTTCCCGATGAAGTCCCCACCCTTAGGCTCTGCCTCCTCACTGCTCTCCTTCCTGGTGCCCAGGGCGTCAACAGCTCCTTCCTGGGAGTTGACTGAGGGAGTAGATATGTGTCAGACAGGTCAGAGCCTGGGGAAACAAGCACAACCCCCAGGAGCCTGGCACTGCTGGTCCTCTTGCTTTTGGACTTGTACACCCAGTCCAGGACCCATTTGGCCTTTTTCTCTTGCTCCAGGGGCTGACAGACCTCCTGCAGAACCCAGGTCCCTCCATTTTGAGGGCTCTTGCCCTTACTGGCAAGTTGCTCTTCCAACCCTCACTTTTACCTCTATTGCTGTTGGGAAGATTAAATTAGGGAACCCCTGTGAAGAGCCTCTACCACTCCTATGGCTGAGAAGGGGGGAGAGGCAGGTCAGAAGAAGGTTCATTCCCTCTTTTCTCGTAAGGCCTTCAGCTTCCATCCCCAACCACAGCCACCAGCGACAACACACTCTCCCCACACCTACCCCAGGCCTCACCTCTCCTTTCGCCCAGGTAGCTGATGCGGACCTGGCACTGGCCCCAGACAGCGCTTACTGCCGGATAGAGGGTCCTACCCTTCAGGCCGCGGAAGGCTGCCCCCAGGTAGGTGCCCCCAATAGCGTAGCCCAGCGTCCCCTCTTCCATGTCCAGAACCACCATCAACCTCTCTGGCACCTCAAGGTGCTCACCCTGAGGTCTGGCTGGATATTGGGGGGCCCCTGGCCCCTTGCTCTGATGGTACAGTTTCCCCCGCCCAATGTCCCAGCCCCAAGACTCGCTATTGCTGCCCAGCAGCGCCGCATAGTGGTCAGCCTGCAGCGGGGCCAGGGCCGTGGCCACGCCTACCACGGCGTGGGTGCCCCTCTGCTCCGGGGGCCAGCTGATCTCCCAGGCGTGCAGGCCCCTCGAGTAGCCTCTCTTACCCCGGGCCCCATCAGTGCTCTGGGCCACGGGCCGTCGCTCAAAGCACAACCCCCCTTCCTTGACCTCGATGTTCTCTGAGCAGTCCTTGGGGTTCCAGCCGTGACGCCGTTGTGCCCCCAGGTCAGGAGGGGGCGCAGACAACAGCTCCTCCAAGCCTTCGGGACAAGAGAGGTCAGGGTACAGGGCCTGTGGGGTGGGGGTGCTGCTGCCCCCTGCCAGGGCCGACTGGCCCATGAAGCTGAGGAGCTGGAGTACTCCCGAAAGGGTCTCGCTGGTCTGTCTCTCTTCTGGAAGTTGAGCTCCCGTTCAGGATCGACCTGGCGCGGACGGGGGAGAGAAGGGGTGAAGTGCCGGCTCCTGCGTGGGGCTCATTCCCCGCCTCAGCCCACAGCCCCCCTCCTCCCTCTGCGCGACCCCACTGCTCCTCACCCTCACCCCATCGGTCACCGGTCTCCCGAGACCGCCCGCTTTGGGCCTCTCCCAAGGCCATCCTCCCTGCCCGCCCCGTGCCCCCGTCACCGCCCCGAACCTCGCTCGGCTCCCGGGCCGGGAGGTCGCCAGGCCGCAGCAGGAGCCGGGCCCCGAGGACCAGGCGCGCCGGTACCGTCGCTTCCGCCTCCAGCGCCGCCCCCGGCCTCGCCCCGCCCCCGGGCCCGCCCCCACAGCGCCCTCAGGCGGTTAACCCTGTCGTCGCCGCCGGGGTCGCGCCCCACCCCGAGGCCACGCCCCTCAGGGGGCCCCTCAGGGGCGGTAACATCTGCTGGGGCCGCAGCCGAGGAGCGCTCGACAGCTGAGGACAGCCCCGAGCGCCGCCCCCGGGGAGCCGCCTGCCGAGCGGTTAGCTCTGGCCCTCCCCGCCGCGGCCATCCTGAGGCCCCGCCCCACGGGGGCCCCGCCCGACGGTTAACCCCCCTGCGGCGGAGGGTGGGCGCCCGGGCAACACGAAGGAACCCTTTGATAGAATCATCACTTGGGGATCCCTTTGAGGCACCCGGACAACCAACTCCTGAGCCCCTGGGGATGAGCTGACGTCTGTTTCTGTTCCCCTGGGATTCTGGGTCCCTGTTTCTGGGCTGGGCTCCTTCTGTCCCAGTTGAGTCAGCCTGTTCTGTCTCAGAGGCTCTGAGCTCTTGTGTGTCCAGCTCTGAGCCTTGGGTGTCACAGGTCCCCGTGCTGTTCTGGTCTTCCATGCCCACATGCCTGCCTGCTTGGTCTCATTTGGTAGAATGTAGTGGTCAAGACCGTGGGTGTCAGGGAAACTGTGCCCTCAGTAGCTGTGTGAGGGATGTTGGGGAGGTTGCCAAACTTCTAGAAGCCTGTTTTCACTCAGGCAAAATGGAAATAACGATGGTATTTACCTCATGGGGTTAGAGGTAAAGCTCTTAGCACAGAGCTTGGTACCTAGTATGCACTCAGTAAACGTAGCTGTTATGATTTATTTAACCTTTGTAAGTGCACACTATACTATAGAGAGGCAAGATAATACAACAGCAAAGTATGCTGGCCAGGGAGCCAAACTGACTGGGTGACTACTTGAAGGCCAGGATGCAGCCGACCTTGGGAAATTACTTAACCTCCTGGTCCCTGTAAAACAGATGCTGTTAGTATCTGCTGCATAGGGTGTAGTGCAGATTCGATGAAGCTGTCAGTGCTGTGTATGTAAAGCTCTTAGGAAAGTTTCTGACTTGGGCCTCCCTGGTGGCGCAAGGGGTTAAGCGCCGCACTATGAAACAATCCACAGCTTCTGCAGCATGAGTTCTATCCCCGACCAGCCAGGGAGCAACCCACATGCAGCAGGCCTCTGCACAGCAGACCTCTCCTGACTCATCCACTGCACCCCTCAGCAGTGTATTTCAGTCAGTCTGCCTGTTCTGCTCCCCACTCTGTCTCTGGTGAATTCTCTCACCCCCCCACACCTCTGGCCTGTACCCTAGCTTTTGTATTCATAAATAAATAAATCTTTAAAAAAAAAAAAAAGGAAAGTTTCTGACTCAAATGAAATTATTTGTGCTAAGCACTGAAGATTAGTGAATCCTCAAAGTTACGAGGACATTTATAAAACTGGTTATCATAGTCTAACACTGGGCTGAATCTAAGACTTAAGAGTTGGCCTGAGGTATGGTTCTAATAGGACTGGATTGAGGCTTCTGTGTGTAGAAGGCATTCTAAACAGAGGTATGTGACAAGCTGACGTAAGTGGAGCCATTTTAACATAGAGCCTGGGCAGTCGCTACAGAGAACTGCATTACTGATCTTGCTTGACTGGGCCAAAGACCTCTGGATTGGGTCAAAGATCTTTGGACTGGGCCAAAAGCAGTTGTTTTTAAAAATTGTCAAAAACACAATTTCTTGAGCAGTCATCAGGATCTGGAGGACTGAAGATCATTAACTTTTTTGTTAAAGACTAAAATCAGTAACCAATTATGTGTAGCCAAGAATTTCAGTTTATTAGCACCAATGAATTCTTTTAAAAAATAATAAAAGAAGACACCTCATCTTCCTCTTTACTTCCCTTAGAAATGCCCTTTTTTGCCCCTCCTTGAAACACTATTTGGTGTCTGTTCAAATCTATGTCCCTGTATTGCAATTCCTTGATCCCCAAATAAACATACTTTACCTTTTTAATTACCTCCTGAATTTGAGGTTGGCAGAGGAGTCACCAAGAGGCAGTAGGTGGGCTTAAGGAAGTTCGAAGATTTCAAGGTTGCAAAACTGCAGCAAGAAGGGAAGCAGGGCCTCCCTGGTGGTGCAAGGGGTTAAGTCTCAGCACTATGAAGCTATCTTCAGCCACTGCAGCAGCAGTTCATCCCTGGCCAGGGAGCTAACCCACATGGCACAGCAGACCTCTCCTGTTTCACCTGCTGCTCCCCTCTGCAGTGTACTTCAGTCAAACTGCCTATTCTGTTTCCCACTCCATCTCTGGTGAATCCTCTCACCCCCTACCCCACACCTCTGGCCTGTATCCCAGCTCTTGTATGCATAAATAAATCTTTAAAACAAAAAGGGAAGCAGACACACAACAGGGAAGTTTGTGTCAGATCACAGAGGTCTTGGGGGTCAAATTAAGGAATGCAAAATGTATCCTGTAGGGCAGACTGGCAATGGGGTACCCATCTGAGAGAAGCATGGTCACTCATTTTAGTATAAACCACCCTGGCAGCAGTGTAGAGGTAGCTTAAAGGGAAGCAGGACTAGAGCAAGGAGTCTGGTTCCAGGAGCCCATATAACAAGTGCCATGAGGCTGAACTAGAGCAGTAGAAGTAAGAATGAAATGCAGTCACGAAACACTCGTGAAATTGCAAGATTGGATGGCTGATTAAATGATGAGGCAAGGGAAGTCTTTCCAGCCTAAAAGATTTTGTTGGAAGGTAGGTCTGTGAGCCCGTAGTTAGTGAGAGTTAAGAAATTTTCCTGTTGGACCTCCCTGGTGGCCAAGGGGTTAAGTCTCAGCATTGTGAAGCAATCTGCAGTTGCTGCAGCATGAGTTCCATCCCTGGCCTGTGATATAACCCACCTAGTGCAGCAGACCTCTCCTGTCTTGCCCGCTGCTCTCCTTAGCAGAATATTTCAATCGGTCCTCCTGTTCTGCTCCCTAATATGTCTTTGATGAATCGTCTCACCCCCCTACACCTCTGGCCTACACCCCAGCTCTTGAATGCATAAATAATAAAATTCTTTTTTTAAATAATAAAAAAGCAATGTAAACTATCTTTTCATGTTGGGGAAAGTATGTTTAGGATTTTAAGGGTTTTTTATGGGCAAGGAAGTCAAAGTAATTGTTCAAGTGTCCTAGCAAATGGATTGTGGAGACCTTGTAGAAGAAACTGAATAACCTTTTCTTTTTTTTAGAGGACAGTGCTGATGCTGTCCCCCATTACTATAAATTATGTAATGGAGTTTCTTATATTTGGGGAGTAGGGGTCAGCACACCCAGAGTGCAATGAAAACCACCTTTCTAATCATGGCATCTCCCCTGCCAGTAAGTATTGAAGAATTTCTGGAGAGTCACAGAGAAACACTAATAAAAAGTTGGAGGAACTGACACAGTTATCCCCAGAAGAGAAAGGTATGATGAAAAGCATGGGAAGACCAGCTCAGATTTCTTCATACATTTGAAATGTTCCAGGCTACACAACACCTACTGATCTATTTTCTGAATACAATCCCTGTGTGGCAGAAACCTGCATTTTGCTTGTGGTTGATTAAATCTATAGTATATTGTAATTCCTTATAATCCAGCAATTCTGGTCTTCAGTATGCACCCAGCAATAATGAGGCCTCAGAGAGATTCAATAGTGTACAGAGTAGCATTCCCTATAATAGATAAAAAGTAGCTTTCTCTATCATAACAGCTTAAAAACTGGAAACAAATGTCCATTAACAGTAGAATAAATTGTTGCATTTCCATGCAATAGAATACTATAAAACAATGAAAAGAATGAGCTGTTTCATGCAACAACATGAGTGACTTTCTCTTATATAATGCAGAAAAAAAAAGTAAGTCAGACATGAAAGAATATAGGTTATATGGTTTCATTGATATGAAATGGAAGAGGCAAAGAGAATCTATATTAATAGAGGCCAAATAGTTATACCTTTAGGGGTGTAATGTCAGGGAAAGGGCAAAGAGCCTTATGTGTTGCTGGAAATGTACTTGATCTTTCTGGTGGTGGTCACACAGCATTAAATATGTAAAAATTCATTGCGTGGTTTGAGATGAGTGCACTAACTGGCAGTACTGAAGAGCTTCCAACTCATTGCCACATTCAGAACAGAGTCACATCCATGGCTCTAGAAGCCAAGGAGGAATTTCAGCTTCATATATGTGGTTTTGAAATGGCAAATCATGCTTACATCAGGAAAGAAAAGGACAGGGGTGTTGTCAGAAGACTGAGGTTTCTTGCTAGCACGCTCATAGTGTGTGGTACCTCAGAGTGGTGCTATTCTCTGTGATCAGCAACCCTGAGGTCTTACTTAACTTTCAGAACTGCAAAACCAAATCAGGAATCCTGTTGCAGTTACCCAGAACTTGGCCAGATGTTTTTTCTTTTGGGGAAGTGGGATCTATAACCTTGTAGAACATGTCTTGCTTTATTAAATACAGAGTTAATTCAGTTACTCCGCTACCACAAGAAGGACAGGTAATCTTGGGTCATTAATTGCTTTCAAACTAGGGCCTTGTGCTTCTAAATTGAAGATACAAAAGCAGGGACCTCCCTGGTGGTGCAAGGGATTAAGTCGCAGCACTATGAAGCAATCCACAGCCACTGCAGCACAAGTTTGATCCCTGACCAGGGAGGGACAGGCGCATGGCGCAGCAGACCTCTCTTGTCTCGACTGCTGCTCCCCTCAGCAGTGTATTTCAGTCAATCTGCCTATTCTGTTCCTCACTCTGTCTCTGGTGAATCCTCTCACCCTACACACCTCTGGCCTGTATCACAGTTCTTGTATGCATAAATAAATAAATCTTAAAAAAAAAAAAAGAAAATGTAAAAAGCAGGTGGGCCTCCCTTTCTCCCATGAGAAGACCCCAGCCTTATTATATTCTGGAAGATAGCCCTTTAGGCTGGTAATTCTTTTCAGTACCTCTGGGTGGGTTTGGT